CTCTACGACCAATAGGAGCTCAGCATCAATGAAAATGTAAAAAAAAACCGGGGATTTTTTCCGAGGCCCAGACAAAGTTCTGCTAGCTGCAGCTAGCTTCAAATACCCAAAAATTTATATCATTTATAGAATTGATACTTTAATATAAGAAAGCAGCGTCATTCAAATTTATTTAATTTAATAATAGTTTAGGAGCATATTTTTTTAATGGGGTAATAATTTCAATTTAATTTGTGTAGGGTGAATTTCCGTGCGTTTGTGTGATTCTGCCATACATATAATGAAAATAAAATATAGCTCACTTAGCACCCATAATATTTTTTAACCATGCTGATTCTCTGTTATAAAGATAGATATAAAATATACCATTTTAGGCCTATTTTCACTTTATTTTGGTCTCCCGCTTTTATAATTAAGGATGTGGATTTATTATATTTCCAACTTCTACAATTTGCTTCTGCTTAATTTCGTTGTGGGTTCCAAGATAGTTTAACTTTGCCGGGGACTTCCCGCGTGACATAACTTGATGTGTTCGTGAATCACTGCTGTTAATCCTGGTGTACAGGAGTTACAGTAATGAGCGTGTGGGATTATTAGTCCCATAAAAACAAAAACATTTGAATGTAGGCACATTGAAGATTGTAATACTTACTTTTTTTAAACCTAATTATTTAACAAAACCGTCAGTACTTAATAAATCACTAATATTATGTGTGTTATATATTACAGCTTGCGTTGAATGTTAATTAGCATTTATTATAGGTATTATGTTAATTAAATGAAAATGACGACAGTGGCTGATAATGATGCCTAATTTGTATGTTTGTATTAGGTAATAAAACCATCGGAATCTGTACGTAATTCGGGTACATATTTGATTCATTAACACGTTTTGAACTTGAAATGGTGGTTAGTAACAACGACTGCTAAGCCGGAGTTCGTGGGTTCGAGACCCCCAGGACAAATTATTATATATATAATGAGTACGACCATTTGTTCTGCCATCATCTTCGTCAACAGCATTAATTTAGAAAGTAGGTTTTGGCTTACTATACCATGCTGGCCAGACGGGTTGGTTTCCTTCTCTTTCTCTTCTCTTACCGTTGTCCTGCGTAGTTAGATCTCTGAGTCGGCTTTTACGACATCCACGATGAAGAGTGGTGGTGACATTCTGTGTTCTTAATCCGTTACCACACGGGTAATTGTTCTGAATCTAAGTGGAATTTATTTATCTATAATATGTATGTATTTAGAAATTTATAGGTGTGTTTATCAGCCACCGTGGGACCTGGAGGCGAGAGCCCTTGCGGCCCTGTATCAGTGGCGATGACCGGAAATCCCAACTCCGCCAGGTCATCATAGGGGAGTGGAGGGAACGACTCGGGCAACCGAGCGCCGGGCACGCCGTCATCGCGGCGGTAAGACCCGTTATGGAGGATTGGCTCGAGAGGCGTCACGGGCCCCTCTCATACCTACTGACGCAGGTGATCACTGGGAAAGGATGTTTCGGGGATCACCTGTGTCTGATCCGCAAGGAGCCAACGCCTGAGTGCCACCACTGCGATGGCCAGACCGTGGACACGGCTCTCCACACGCTGGCGGAGTGCCCGTGGCGCCCATCGGAGTGGGAGTTCTCTCGCTCGAGAGCCTGATTGCGGCTATCGTGCGGAGCGAGAGTGCGTGGAACTCTGCCGTCTCCTTCTGCGAGCAAGTTATGCTCGCGAAGGAGACGGCGGAGCGGGACCGGGAGAGGTTTAGAACTCTCCCGGCCCGCCAAGTACCGCAGGCGACTCAGGCACCGGAGGTCGCAGAACGACCTCCGTCCTCCATAAGCGCAGGCCTGGGGGTGACAGGTGAGGCCATCTGTCACCCTAGCAGAAGCAGGCCGGGGTGGCGGCGAGCGCGTTGCGAAGCGCGCTCGCTTCCAGGGAGCACAGGGAACATGGGGTTCCCACACGGGGGGGTCGTCTACTCGTCTGTAGATGGCCCGAGGTATGTCGGGGCACCAGGGACTTCCTTTCTAGGGTATACCTGGTTCTCCGGCTATTAGTACCCGAGACGGCGTGCGGTTTTAGTCGGTTCGAGTCCGACATGCCACCGATAGATAGGTGGTATCCGATTTCCGCACGGGGAAAAAAAAAAAAAAAAAAGGTGTGTTTATCAGCAACTCTGCCGTCTCCTTCTGCGAGCAAGTTATGCTCGCGAAGGAGACGGCGGAGCGGGACCGGGAGAGGTTTATCATTCTCCCGGCCCGCCAGGCCCGGGAATGGGCCAGGTACCGCAGGCGACTCAGGCGCCGGAGGTCGCAGAACGACCTCCGTCCTCCATAAGCGCAGGCCTTTCTAGGGTATACCTGGTTGCCCGGCTATTAGTACCCGAGACGGCGTGCGGTTTTAGTCGGTTCGAGTCCGACATGCCACCGATATATACGATATACCGGTGGTATACGAGGGGATTTCCGCATGAAAAAAAAAAAAAAAAAAGGTGTGTTTACGATAACTTAAGCAAGTTGGGAGGATGTGTTGCGAAATAGTTGGGACGGAAAATCACGTGGTTTTCGATGGTTCGAGTTTGACATATAACCTTTGCGTCTCCAGTAAAAGGATGACTTGCGAGAGTTGCCACACGCTAAAAATTAAGCTGTGTTCTGCGTTCAAAACATATTATATTAGCAGTAAATTTTGATTTTGTTAAAAAATTTGTTACGGAAAATAGTGTTTTGATCTGAAGGACTCTTCTTTTTAAGCACACTTTGGATGTTTAGCTTTTCTTTCTGTGTTTCTCTCGACGCTGTTTTTGGGGACAACACTAAATTTCTAAGAGAATGTTGTCCCGGCGTTTGATCTTAAAGCTGAATTAACTAAATACTCGCATACAATGTTCCTTTTAGTTATTTTTAAATAAGACAACTTCAACACGAGGAACATATCCTGTGTCGCGGGGGACTTTACAAACATTCATGAAACGGACACAAACAACACCCAGACTCTGAATGGGGATCGACCACCACAACGCTCAGTGAAGTAGGAAGCGGCGTGGCGACCGTTTAAACCACTACGCCATCTATGCAATCAAAATTTTGTACCCAACCCAAATGTTTTATATTAACAATACGCAAATCTAGTATTAAACTAAATAAAAATGAATGAAAGAAAGGATTTTTGGAATTTCCCCCCGTAAGGGGATAAATTAAGAGATGAGCGGCTGAATTTTTAAAGTTAGAAACACGTAATATGAATTAATCACGCGAGTGAAGTCGCGAGCAATAGTTGCCGACTGCTGCTGCTGAATGCCTCGGTGGCGCAGTGGTAGTTTATGCGACTGCTGTGCTGAGGTCTCGAGTTCGATGCTCGGGTAGGAGCAAATGTTTATATGATCAGCAAATATTTGTTTCGGAGTTATGGTGTTCTCTATGTATGTATTTACAAAAAAAAAGAGTATTAAAGTATTCTAACAGTCCATCTAGCTTAGTTTGAAACCAGATGGCGTTGTGTTAGATGGGTAAAACTTTTAATAAAATCATAATAAAACTCTCCCACATCTCACACACGGCCGTCTGATCCTCAAACCTTTGCAGAGCTTGTACTATGATAACCAGACTGCTGATAAACATACTTATATATATCTGAATATAGACATACTATAGATAAATTACCACCCAGACAAAGAACAAATGATCGTGCTCATCACACAATACTTGTCCTCACTGGGAATCGAACCCACGACCTTCGTTTTGGCAGTCGGGCCACTAACTAGTAGACCAACCTACTAGTACCTAATGTTATTAGAAGAATTCCGTCAAAACAAACATTCCATCCATTTACCACACCTGGGTTGCCATGTAAAAATCTAATTGTACTTAAAAATACCACACGCATTAAATTTACAACTGCGAATATACCGTTTTATTTTCTCTATAATTAAGTGTTTTATTTGTTCAAACGACAAGGACAGCAGTATAAGATTGTTAACAAACCAAGAGGTATATTTTTCGATTGGTTGGCGAAAGGCAACCTCCGAGTTGGTCCCGCCCACTTTGTTGCATGTTGTAGCTTGACCTCAACTTGGTAGAACTATTTTGATACCTACCAATTTATGGGTAAAAACTTGTTGTTTATTTCTGATGGTTGTACAAGGTTAGTTACGAGCGTATGAAATTTTTTACGGCTTCATTTTTTTCTTTTATTTTATATCATTTTATTCGTCCGTGTGGTGAGGGATTAAGAATACGGAGTGTGATACTCCTATTCATCCCGAGGGTGTCGTAACAGCCGAATAAGAGAGCAACAGCACTGCAAAGAGAGGGAAAACTTGACGCAAACCCTATCCCAACCCGTCTGGCCAGCGTGATATAGTAGGCCAAAATCTCCTTTCTAAAAGTCCAGATTTGTTGGAGGCTGTTGAGGATGTCCTGTGTTTTAGTATGTTAAGTAAGCGAGAACATGAAAGATGTCTCATCTTTAGCAATTTTCTGAAATCATTTTCTGATTTATTTGGGAATCATAAAGTTGCCAACCCTATGTCGGAATAAAGTTGCCGGATGGCGTAGTGGTTTAAAAAAAAACTAGAAGGGTTTGTTAACCGCTGTATTTTTTACCAATCTTCTCCAGTTTATAAGGGATCTTCTGTGTTCTACTTGTACATAAATTTAATAGAAGTAGAAGCGAATCTTTACAATGTGAAAAAACAGCTAAATTCTGACAACTCCATAGAGGTTTATCATTGAAAACAAATTATTTTTGCAGAAGTAAAGAGGGTGATGGTCATCAGCTGTTTGTTGTTTGTTTCCACCTCGTAAACCATTATATTCATGTCTTCGTGTTTAGGTAAAAACTAAATTTATCAATGTATAGCCTCTCAATCGGGTCTCAATCATAAACTACAGTCTAACCGAGACTAAGATCACTCCAATTCGGTCGAAACAAAGGTTATCTGATTAGGTTTATTTATACCTATCGTTTAAAAATAAACCTTGTTAATCTCTGTCTGTATTGTTTCAGAACGATTTTGCGACGTCACATTATATTGTTCGCCAAGCTTCGCGACGCAGGTATCCGGCAAGGATCCCGTGGAACCACAGAAAATACGAGGAGTTTCCTTAAGAGCTCATAGGCAAGATTTGATTTTTCTTACATAAACAATCTCACCCTGAATCTCTCATATTAAGGGTAATTTAGAGTAGGGAAACTGACAAGACCAAATATTTCATACATAATCATTAATAAGGGCTGTACTGCGTGCATTGGACAACCACTTCAGAGGTCCACGTTCGATACTCTTTCATTACAAATAATATATATTTGTGGCGACTGTCACATACAGAATATAAAATTCAATGTCATCTAAATCCTCATCTAATGTCTGGATTTGACGAAAAACCCTAACATATTTTTATATTATTACTTAAGGAAGCAATGTCGCCTTCACTACCAAGGTGCTTCCTTTACCTTTCTGAAAACTTTAAATGTAGACCAACCAAGAAGAAATGAATCAGACCTCGAATCTTAAGACTCCTTTTTGTTTTCAAAATTCGTTACAATCTTAGAGGCACACTTTTTACGAGCCCTAAATCAGCAGGGGGAACGCGTTCCATTCTATTGTTGGATTGGTATAGGGGTTGTTTCAAGTTTTCCTTTTCTTTGCAGTGCTGTTGACCTTCTTCTTACTTCTTCTTACGACACCAAGTGGATGAATAGGGATGGTTACACACACCGTATTCTTAATCCCTCACCACACAGATAGCGCACACACATATATGATCAAGTTCTTTCTTCCTCCAGGGTAGTGCTAGCAGCATGTTCAGAGCTACTCGGAGCGCTTCTCGGCGCCCACGATGCTCAGGGTGAGCCGGTGCTTGTCATAGATGGTGCAGAACCGAAGCACTTGAAGGCACTCCTCGACTACATGTATACCGGAGAAATGAACGTTCATCATGTAAGTATGATCTTCTTCTTCTTCCCTAGAGTGAAGTTCTATAACATTTTGAGTTAATGTTCTATGGTTCCTGGCAGTTCCAACTATGTCATGCTCAGTTAGGGGTTGCCTTTGATGACGTAAGTGTTGGTCCGGATGTCCTAATAAAAGCTATTCCCGGACCCCTCCTGCCCTCCTGTCTAAGGCGCAGTATGCCACACGGTGAGGTTTTATTCGGTTCGATTCCTACACACCGCCTCACCGCAAACCCCGGTGGGTAGAAGGCCCGAGGGGGTTACCAAAAGTGTAACCAAACGTGTAAAATAAATAGTGACGTATGTGTCCGGTCATTCAGTTCCCTTGAATAATGTAGAGGTGGTAGTAGGTCATGCTTGTGTACGAGTGCCATTGGCCAAGCCTGGTCATTTCTGGACTGCTTTCACTGAAAAATGACAGTAATTTGCGTCAACAGTCCCTTCAAGCTGTGAAAAGTCAAACTTCTAAGTTAACGTAAAAGAAAGATACCACCATGTATAACGCAAAAAACGCATATTTCGACACTCAAGGAAATCAAAATTCATAGGGTACAGGGTATCAGTAATAACAGGGTCTGTAAACTGAATTTCGTGAAAATCTCGGAAAAAACTTTGTTCAGTCTTCGCATTTACTACAAATACGTACCTACAAATTTGTACTGAACCCTCGGTGGGCGAGTCCTACTCGCACTTATCCGGTGCACTGCATCGAAGTGAACTTGCACTTAAATGAAACTTAATAGGCGACGATTCGATAATAATCGACGAGTACAATTGAGAGGATAAGGGATGCGGTGTACCTTAAAGCTTTAAGCCTAATCAACTTGAAGGCATACCACAGACAATCTTAACGCGCGTTTGTTTTTTTTATTAACGTGAAATGTTTGACAGCCAGGGGCAGGTGGTGTCTTAATTTACTTTGTATTGACAAAGAAAAGTGTTGTTATTACACATTTAAAAAAAATGCATAAAACCTTCCTTGGGTTTTAACGAAATTACAAAAACATTAATATATCAAGCTGTTATCAAGTTTTGTAGTAGTATTACCCATTATTTTTTATAGTATTTAAAAGATGAAAATGGTTATTGTCGGTTTTTGTAGATATTATTAAGATATAAAATTCCGTAGTGCATTGTTTTTATCTATCTCGTACGGTTTAGCCAGCGTTTACAATGTATGCCCAGAAAAACATGTTTTACGACTTCAAATTACAAATTTTTGAAATTCTCGAATTTTCTCTACTGTAATATGCATATATTTCACAAATAAACCCGCCTCTTAAGTCACTTTCTCTATTGGTGAAAAATAATTTGCATTATTAATTATGAAATCCGTTGCGTAGTTTGAAAGATCTAAGCGTAAAAGAAAAATAAGCGACTTCATTTTATACAATGTAAAGATTTAAATAGATTATTTCGCTCACGGAAGAATGTGAAATTTGAAATACTTAAAGATACTCAAAGTTAAATGCAGAAATCTAACTGTTAAATAACAACATATATGTACGGGCTTTATTTATATTAAAAATAGATAAAAAGATATTCTATATTTTTATTGTTTTTTTTTGGTTTAACTTTTAACTAAAGTCTAAACTTTTAACTAATTCAAAATTTGCGTACCTGAGAGGCATATCGGATTGTATTTTTTCCTCTCAAAAATATGCAATGCCCATTTGAAAATTGCTCTTAACCATTGAGATAACCTTCAAGGTTGCGATCAAGGTCAACAATGTACCTATAGCCGGGGAAAATTCTACTAGAAAAATGTAACTTTGGTGTTTTTAACGTATTTCCGAAAAATGAAGCCCTAGCCGAAGCGAAAGTTGAAGAAGTTGCGCAAGAAGTGTCCGAAAATAGTCATATTACACATTTTTCGGTCTCGCTCCCATCCGCTTAGAGCGCGTAACGCGCGATAAGAAACTTCGTGCCAAAAAATGTTAAGTTAGAGTACGCATCAAAATCTCAACAAGTTCTCCTCCGATTGAGCTCAAATTTTGACACGATATACAAACCGCTTCAATGAAAGTTTTTATCTATTTTCAAATTCATTTTTGTAGCAGGGTACAGTTAGTAAGTTATATAAAAACATTGATTAAATTACCGCCACTTCTCCTTTTGCTTCGTTCAAAGTTAAGTAGGTAACCTTTGTCTATCTTTGTTCATAGTTCACTGCTGGACATAAGCTTCTACTTAGAAAGGAGGTTTTAGCCTACTATATCACGCTGGCCAGACGGGTTGGTATAGGGTTTCTGTCCAATTTTCCTTCTCTGTGCAGTGCTGTTGTCCGGAATTGTTTGCTCCCTTAGTCAACTCTTACGACACCCCTATTCATCCCGTAGGTGTCGTAAGAGTCGTTAGTTAAAAGTTAAAACAAAAAAAAAAAAAAGAATTATAGAATATCTTTTTATCTATTTTTAATATAAATAAAGAAAGTGCATGTGTGTTGTTATTTAACAGTTAGATTTCTGTATTTAACTTTGAGTACCTTTAAGTATTTTCAATGTCACATTCTGCCGTGAGCGAAATAATGTATATTAATCTTTACATAGTATAAAATGAAGTCGCTTATTTTTCTTTTAAGCTTAGATCTAGTGTCACCAAACTCCGTATTTTTAATTCGTCACCACACGGACATTGTTCATTCTAGCAATTTAACTAATTAATAATTAACTAATTTTCTTACCAATCGTTTGTTTAAAATTATTACTATAGGTTATATTCATACAGGCGCAATAAGGATATTCAGTGTATATACATATTCATTCATTCATCAGCAGCCTTTACTAGTCCACTGCTGGACATATGCCTGTCTCTAGAAAGGAGGTTTGTCGAGCTCTACCTACCACTTGCCTTTAAATTTGTTTATTCTTGCCAAAAATAAAAGCAACGAAAACAACAAACAGTTACTAAGTTGCAAATGGTCACATCTAAAATCCAAGTAAAAACATTATGAAACTCCTAAATCTTAGTTTAATAACAAAAAAATCAAGTAATTTGTGTAAGAAGTACATTATCTAAATATAAAAATGTTAAGTTGGTTTGAGTAAGCTCCGAAAACTGGAATAGTTCTGCACCGATTAAGCTAAATTTTTTACATGATTCACAAACCGGCTTTTTTTTGCTCAATTAACAATTCATTGTACAATGGCGGACTTAATGCCGCAGGCATTTTCTCCCAGTCTACCTAAAGGTGGTGTGGAAAGGTCTGAGTAGGTGCACTAGAAATTAAGGTTTTTCTATAACGAGATGATAATAATTGAGGATATGGACAGAAACAGTCTGACAGATATACATACATACTAAGGTACACATACATATAATAATAATAATAACTTCACCCATCTAGCACACGGCCGTCTGAGCCCAAACTAGGCAGAGCCTGTGCTATGGTAACAGGACTGCTGATAAACATACTTATATATCTTTAAATACATACATATTATAGATAAATTACACCCAGACACAGAACAAATGACCATGCTCATCACACAGTATTTGTCCTGAATTGGAATCGAACCCACGACCTCCGGCTTAGCAGTCAGGGCCACTAACTACTTGACCAACAAGCCCGTCGCATAAATACTTGCTGTCATGGCTGGCACCCTGAAAGAAATTCTGTTCTCGTACGATACGAAATACTGAACATCACACATCACATCAACGGCTTTGTGGCGACTCCCACATAAACATACTACAGCGCCATCTAATGAAGACACACCGAACTACGGAGTAACTACTAAAATAAGATTTGCTAATCCTGTATCGCGATATAAAGAATTCCCTCGCCGATTAGCATATATACAACTTCCCAACATCAACCGTTGGGTCGCGGTCTGCCAGGCATGATCACCTCGCCTGGTCGGAGGATCCTCCCTTTGTGTTGGAGGGACATGACACCCGTTCCTCCACAGCTTTTATAGTCCACTGCTGGACAAAGTTGTCTTAGAAAGAAGGTTTTGACCTACTATACCAAGCTGGCCAGACGGGTTAGTATAGGTTTTGTTCCTTTTCCTTCTTTTTGCAGTGTCCTGCGTAGTTTGCTCGATTAGTCGACTCTTAAGATACTTCAGGATGAATAGGATACCACAGGATTGTAGTGACATTTTGTCTTCTTAATCCGTCACCACACGGATAAAAATACTGAAAGGCAGACAATATGTAGGTTTCTTGTCTAAACTACTCAAACTACGCAGGACAACAGCACTGCAAAGATAACTAAAACTTAACACAAACCCTCTACCAACCCGTCTGGCCCACGTGGTAAAGTAAGCCAAAACATCCTTTCTAAGGAGACGCGTATGTCCAGCAGTAAATTATTTAAGGCTTTTGATGTGATGCAATAATGAACACCAACTAAAGTTAGATCACTATTTAGAATCCTATTCACCGTATCCACTTCAACAATTACCATCCGTAAGATGATGAGACTGCACGGATGGCGTAGTGGTTCAAGTGTTCGCCACGCCGCCTCCTACTATGCAGAGAGTTGTGGGCTCAAACCCCATATGGGACGACACTTTGTGTGATCCACAAATTATTGTTCGAGTCTGGGTGTTCCTTGTGTCCGTTTCATGTATGTTTGTAAAGTCTCCGGCGACACAGGATGTATACCTAATGTGGGCGTTATCTTTTAAAAAAAAAAGGTATTAATGAAGCTGTCACTTGCCTTTATAATTATCAGCAGATGATGTTTATGTCATCCACAATGACTTTTGTGACCTTTTCGACTTTACTTTGGACGCAATACAACTATCAACATTGTAGCGCCATCTCCAATATCATAGTAGAAATAATTGAAGATAATGGTTTACTTTTTTGTTCAAAGATGTCACTGTTATACATTTTAGTAAAACTAGTGCTTCAATCCGTTTTATCTAATTAATGTATGTTGGCATATTTAAATATCTAGGTATAGCAAGATTGTTCAAGTTAGTTTTGCGTTATCGTCGATATTTTTTTTAATATTGATATTTCATTACCTAACACATCGCCCATAACATAAGATAAAATTGCTTATAACGCCCTCTAGCATCTAAAAGTTGAACATCTCAATATAATTATAGTGGAAATAAAATGCATAAATAATAGGCATAAATTATTTAAAAACAAGAATAGCCTGTACATGCCTACATTGTTTTAATTATTAATCGACTTTATAACTTCTAGTATCAATAAGAAGTATGTCTCAAACATTTTATCTATTATTTTGTTTTTGCGCCACACTTGTTATAAAACTGGCCACTGTCACTGTCAATGATGTCAAGTAAACAATTTTTATTTAATTTATTGTGAACATATTCATTACGACAACTACACTAATATCGAAATTATAACAAATTGGGTTAAATCAACACATAACGGGTATAAATCATCCATAATTCAATTTATTTCTTTACACTTTTACTTTTTTCGGAATACATAACAAACATCATCATCAACGACCTTTACTAGTTTGGCCTACTATACCACACCGGTCAGATAGGTATACGATTTGTTTTGAGTTTTCCTTCTCTTTGCAGTGCTGTTGTCCTGCGTAGCGTAGAGTGTCAACACCGTATTCAACACGTGGGTGACGTAAAAGCCGACTAAGGGAGCAAACTAATTATGATAATGATGATACAGTCTAAGACTTATTTGACATATACTTGGTTCTCATGTCATTTTATCCTGATTGTAGTGTTAGGACTATTATGTCATTCGCTTGTGCGAGAAAACAGTTTATTCTCTTCTAATTAATTATTTTCAGAATGATTGCCATACATAATAAATATGGTAATCAATTAGGGGAACAGGCTCAAGACATTGTATTCAATGTATATTGCCAATTTTAAAAGAACAAACAAAATTTCACTGGTACTTTGACTGCACCGTAGTGGTTTAAGCGGTCGCCACGCCGCTCACCACTACGCTGAGTGTTGTGGATCCGATCCCCACATGGGACAACACTTTGTGTGTGATCCACAAATTGTTGTTCTAAGTCTCGGTGTTCTTTGTGTCCGTTAGGTTAACACTTAAAACTGAAACAACTTGTAAACCAGCATTTATAAAAATATTGCAAATTATTGGACAATCTGAGAGGAATGTTCCAAATGAAGATATGGTCAAACTTAAAACAATACATATCAAAAGAGAAATAGAAAATGATGTTAACAAAGAACATATACAAATGATTAAGAAAATTAAAATGGAACCATTGGATTAGCTCTTCACATGCCACCCCTCTGATATGCCATTACACTGTTAAGTGCTTTCACGGGTAAGCACTGTACAGTGTGCATGAATGCATGCAATTGAGTTTCATCCAGTAGTGATAGAAACTGAGAGTTTAAAAATAAATCTTTTCTTTTACTTTTACACTTTGGTTTAACATTTTCAACATAACTTATGTGAAAATGTTAAACCAAAGTGTAGATTATATAGAAAATAAATAAGCAATGTATTGCTCACATTTCCTATATAACCAATAGGTGTTTGACCAATTAATATGTTTGGAAGAAAGAAATACCAATGTGTAAGTTACGCATAAAATGTTAACGTGTAAGATATGCATTACGTGATTAATAGGTTATAGTTTAAAACTAGGAATAAATGTAACTTTTATACATAATAGCTATTATTATAAGTAGATTAACTAACTACTAGTACAAGACATTAAACATATATTCTTAATACTGAATTTAATTTCATAGCCAATGAATGTTTAAATAGATCAACTGATTTTTCATAAGTTATCTAACTGACATGAACATAGACAACCAGAAGACCAATTCTCGTAAAAAAAGTTCGGTCATAGTTTAATTTCAATTATTTTCGATCTCGCAACTGTCATCAAAGGTATTTTTGTTGTAAAATGGTTAAGTATTACTAAGACTACCGATTCAATTTTCGGTTCGGATGAGCCTTATTTTTGTTCTTTATATGCCGTACTTATTTTCACAATTTTAACCCGGTTTTAACATAACCAACCTGCAATAAAGAATCACAATGACAGTTAACAGCGTTCGGGTGTCTACGGCACCGTTCGGCACTGCTCGGATGACGGTGGACGCGATCACAATATTTCTATAGAGTTTCATTACCAGGTGCATTGGTGAGAAATGTGAATTATTATGCAAAACAATTTAAAGTACAACAATGCACTTCTTTTAGTTGTCCTTGAAACTAAAATAATATAATAATTAAATAATTAACTTTTAAACATGTATCATCGACTTCAATGCCTCTTTATAATGATTAATTGTAATAAATTGTATTCTTCGTTTTTCAACTTTCCACCCACAAGGCTGGTATTTTTTTTTCCAATTTGAATGACCACACGAGAAGTAACGATGGAGTTATGAGGTAACAAACATGAAAATAAACAATCAAATTGGGGACCTCTTTTCTTGTAGTTGGTTAAAATAGCACTCAATATTCAAAACGTGACAGAACAGTCATTCTTGTTGCTCTAAATCAGCTTCCAATACTACGCACAATACTCTGCCTAACCCTTTGAAGATAATATTGATAAAATGAGTATATATTATTTTTAAAATATTAAACCTTCACTTATAAATAAATTCTAAATTGTAACGTTAAATTGTATTTAATGATCTTTAAAAAAACACTTAGAATCTTCTGTGTACTAATTTTTGCTGTATACAAGCAGGTTAATAAAAAAACTTTAATTTTAATTATACATGTATCAACAAACTAAACAAATAACAGCAGCACTACTATTACTATTAAACTATTAACGAATCTCCGCTTGGAACACATTTTCTTCTTATAACAAATTATTATCTTGTGATTCTATTGATCTTCTTAAGGATTGTCGAAATAACCAGTGGAGGTAAATGGTTGATGTAGAAGGACAGAATGATTTGAAAGCTCATTTTTATTTGAAGCTTCACGTGCAACTATATCAGGCTCTATATTTATTGTTGTAGGTTCATCCTTTATCAACTGATGTTCGTAAACAGCTGGTTCACTCTCAAAATTAAAAGAAGTGTCGTCTTCTGTTTTAATTTTAATGGAAGTTGAATCTAACTCGGTCATGTTTTCTAGAGTTTGTTGATGTATATTTATATCTAAGTAGTGCGAATATGAATCATTTTGAAACGGTTCATTTTCCGTAATGTCAATTTCCTCTTTAATTTTGACTTCTAAAGAATTTTGGTCAGGAGCATCATTCTCAAATTCATCGATTTTTTCATATTGCATGTTCAGTGTTTCCCCGGTTTTCATTTCGAAGTTCAAGAATGTGTAATGATTACTTTGTTGCATTTTACTTTTAGATGCTTCTGCTTTCTTTTTTAACCTTTGTGATGCTCTACGCTGATTTCTTAAGTTTGGTTTAAGAAAAGCTTCTGGGCCCATGTGTTTGTATTCATTGACTAAATGGCTCACATAGCTTGCAGAGACACCTGTCGCTGCACTAACACGTCGTGTAATATTTGAAAAGTATCCTCCTTTAATTTGAGCAAACTCATTGGCTTCCTTTATAATATAACAATACACATTATATACTACATCACGCACTTGGTCGTCTAATCTGTGTGGATATTTTTTACCCAACATAATTATTGGTAAGTCTCTATGACAGCCTTCAGTCATTCTGAAAATAAAAGTTTTTATTGTTTAAAAAACTTATATTCTGTTTATGTTTTTCTAGACCGCTCTGATATTTTGATCATTTCCAAAAATAAAAGACTTATTACATATTACATGTATCGTTTTGTTTTATAATTCTTACACTTCTTCTCTAGTACAAGATCAGTTAACATCGACTCTATTTAGTTTTTACAGCCTTATGGAATAACATGACAGCATTTCATGGTGTTAAAAACAGAAAAAAAACTGAATTGAATTTTATAATTTATATTGTCATTTTATGAACTAAAACAAATATTTTCTGACTTCTTTTTGCCTAAGATATCTCAATATTATATGTTTAGATTTATTCTCACAGAGTAAAAAAACATGTTATCATGTAAATAACCGGCAGTTAAAATGTCGACGTTATGTAATAAAATAAACCATGAAAAATGTAGTGTGTAATGTTTTTTCCTGTGCTCTTGTGGTACTAAGAAGTGTATTTGGTACTTATGTTCATTAGGGTAAAAGTCATATCACTTAGCGGTTGATTCGATACTTCGGTGGAATACAATACATTTTTCATTTTGACATCATAGGAAATGACGTTAAAAAACGTACCTTAATCCCGAGGTTGAATATAACTCTGTCATGTTCTCTAGAGTTAGTCTATATATATTTTCTTCGAAGTAGTGCGAACATGATTTATTGTGAAACTGTTTATTTTCGGTATTATAGATTTCGTCTTCCATTTTGACTTCTAAAACATTTAGGTCAGGAACATCATTTCCAAATTTTTCATATTGCATGTTCAAGGTTTCGTCAGTTTTCATTTCGAAATTGAAGCAAGTAGGATGATGCGTTTGTTGCATTTTACTTTTAGATGCCTCTGCTTTCTTTTTCAAGCTATGTGATGGACTATGCGGATTTCTTAATATTGTTTTAAGAGAAGCTTCTGGACCTATGCATTTGTATTCATTGATTAAAATGCTTACATATGCTATAGAGACACCTGTCGCTGCAGTAACACGTTGTGCAACGTTTGTAAAGTATCCTCTTTTAACTTCACCAAACTCATTGGCTTCTTTGGTAAAAAAACCATACACATTATATACTACATCACGAACCTGGTCAACTAATCTGTGTGTGTATTTATATTTTTTACCCAACATAATCACTGGTAAGTCTCTATGAAAGTCTTCATTCATTCTGAAAACAAAAATGATTATTTTTTAAGATGCATAGATCCTTTTTATGGTTTTATACCCCATTTGTGATGGCGTGAAACGTATGTATAAGGCATTACACTCACAGAAGGACCCTGCATATCATTTTGAATTTTGACATATTATTCACTCATTTTTTTGTTTGGAAATAAATAAAGGCTCAACTTTCCTTTTCCGTACATCGAGTTTGGGCTTGAAATTTTTTTTCCACAAAGGTTACACTATTATAAGCACTCATGTAAAACTTTCAACACGCAGAGACGCATATTTTTTAAGCAAAAACATATTGACAATCAGTTATTATTGCGATGCTTCTGTCAAAATTGTAGTTTTTATGACAATCTTTACCAAAGATTATACAGAATTCACATCAGGAAACGTTAAGTTTCATCTATAGTTAAGTTATCATCATATGTGTGCATGAAAACTATTTAAATGAGTACAAAATATAATAATTTACGTAAATTTATATAAAATAAAATGTTCCTGAATGTATGACAACTTAACCATAGATGAAACGAAACGTTTCGTGATGAGAATTTTATATAATCTATGGTAAAGCTTGTCATTAAGAGTGTAATATTGACAGAAGAATTGCAAAAATAATTGATTTTCAATATTTTTTTGTTCAAAAACTACGCGTCTCCGCGGTTTGAAACTTTTACGTGTGTGCTTATAATAGTGTAATATATCCGGAAAAAAAATTTCAACCCAAAAATCGATGTACGGAAAAGGAAAGTTTAGCCTAAATAAATATTCTGCGTACATAAGTGGTTCATTAGTTTAAGTTGCCATACATACAACTGATATACATTACATACATATACATATAATTGTATTCAAATTCATTTTAAACGTTACTAAAGTGTCAAAGGGAGCTTTTTAAATCTATCACTGATATTTAAGAGCCTAGTGTTTACAGGTGATTACACAATAAATTTCATTTAGATAGTATAGAAGCGTTATAAATGAACATACCTCAATTCCTGCGTGTTATCAGCTCTATATAATAATTGTATGCTGTCGCGAGCGCCACCCTTCGAGGCTTGTGTAAAACTGGTACAGTGAAATTAGTCTCGAGAATTTTTTGCATATGTAGTGGTGTGTAAATTACTCAGATCTTAGAGCGCGTTTCCACTATATCGTTCTGGCCTATACAAAAATGTTTCGATATCCTAACATTACTATTAATTTTATACTTATCCCTAGCAACACTCTGATTTTTGTTTTCAATAAAAACAAGTTTTTATTTTAAAGAAAAAGGTTTTGACTTTATAAAAAAAAAGGTGTGTGTGCGATTCACACACGATAGAAGTGAAACTTCAAAGAGAGACCGATATTTAATTTTTTTTTTTTTCCTTTTATCTAGGTTTTTAAAACTCCGGGGGGTCTACGGGGGGGTCAAAATTTTTGTTATTTTTGGCCTAGGACGCACCGTTTCCGAGATATTTCAATCTAAAGCAAAAAATCGTCACTTGATAGTGGAAAGTGGAAACACGCACAAAACCAGAATAAACCAGTTTACGCTGTCCGCTACCATACACTACTACAACCGCAAAAATTTCTCCAAGCTAATTTACCGTAAATTCAGTTTTGACGCGAAGGCGCGCTTTGTTTCTTCACGTGTGAGTGAGATGCAAGATTACAAAAGCAGTCATTTTACCAGCTCACGCATGCTTTGAGATTCGCGACCCCCGAACGCGGCCGAGTACAGACGAATCATTTCAAAAACCTGGTTATTTTTAGATATTGTGCTTTATCTTGAAAACTAAACATATTTATTACATTTTTATTTCACTAATTTGTACTATTGGGAACTATCGGTCTATTAAGAAATTATTAAATGCGTTTTATGTTTAGGTATTGACACAGGCCGATGTTAAAATACCTATCTGAGCATAATACGCCAACCTAAAGCTGTTATGTAACAAAAAACTATTTAAAATGTGAGATTTGTTGTAGTTAGTTACGTATTTAGTAGTAATTTTTGACAACGAAATTGGCAAATAAGTGTCTATACCGTGCATCGGTATATTTAGAGTGATACGACCTTACAAAAATCGGTGTTAGCAATATTTTCGGGGTTTTACACTGAGTAAGGCCCAATAGCAACGCGCTTGTGACGCTAGAGATGCAATGAACTTATGATATTCACTTACCAGAAGGTCAGTCCTCGTAATAAAAAAGCGTTCAAAATTGAGTTTCGATCCACTCTCGATCTCATATAAGGTCATTTTCTCGTAGTATGTGACACGACTTAACTAGAATAAATATTATAATGTACGTACTTAGGTTATAAATTAGGATAACACCGTTGTTTCAACCATTGGTATATTATATTACACCAGATTGGTAATTATTACTCAGAAGCGTTGCCACTGCACATCTGTCCACAGCCATATTTGCAGCAAACGTCAGTTCAATGTGGCGCCAATCGAGTTGAACATAGCGACACGTGACGATAACAATCCCCAAAAAGGGTAAATGCGTAGTGATAGAATGCGATTCAAGGTCACAAAACTATAATAAATCAAGCAGAATAACTTTTCACACGTAAATATATTGTTTATGCATGATCCGCTATAATTTAAATAAAAAAATTATCATTGTAATTTATATTCAGTGTGATCTCTAAAATATCGTTTTGGTTTTCCCACGTTGGTAGGAGAATTTTTAATTATTGAAAAAAAAACTGTGTACTCAGTTTTTAAATATTTGGCAATAATAATAAATTACAGTAGGCCTGGTAGCTGATAAAATTGGACCGATCTCCTTTTTTAGACGTTCGTTTTTAAACGTTCACCGATCGATCGAATGATTTTTCTGAACTGTTTAAATCAAAATTACAGAAAAAAATAAAGGAGCAAAATTTACATTGCTGAGTACCCTGTAACCCTCGTAAAAATGAAAAATTGAATGTTTAAAGTCTGAAACCGGCACAAAACGTCAACAAGTCTATACCACAATTTTATTCAAACAAACAAAAACTCCCTACCTAAATAAACTAAAAAGCGAAAAATAAATTTAATTATTTATATTATTAAAAAAATGTGCAACTTCTAACTAATGAAATCAAAACCCTTACATGGGCTTCAATTCTGCTATTTAATAATGTATCAATATACTGTCGATGAAATGTCGTCGGAATAGTTTATCACTTTTCCTATTCTACTAACTATGTAAGACCAATGACCGGTAGGTCCCGATGTCTTGTCACTGATACAAATGTCGTCGATGTCTATGTAATAGTTTGGGAAACGGTACATTTTAAATTTGTAAGAAAATGATATATTTAATTTTCCAGGTATGGCAATTTTGTTGATATCGCCATTGATGACCTATAATAACTATAACGACAGTCTATTGACACTGTAAATTGATGTTAGTAGAATACTGATATTTTGACCGATATCAATGGTGTCTCAATAGCCTGTCAATGGAATGACAGTGGCTTGCCGTTAACATAAAAGAGCAGGATTGAGGCCCTGGTGACTATAACTTACCTATTCTCAATAAAATTCATAATGAAGATATAATATCACAAAGCGAAGGGAAATTCGTTCCGAGCGGGGGTCCAAAGACCCTCACGCCTTTTTTTTTACTCTTTGTAACTTTTACTGGGCCTGCCTTTTTAATACGGAGTCATTCATCTCGCTATTTTGAGAAACGGATATAAAGCGTAGAACAATAATAACAAACGCAAACAAAACATATAACAAATACAAACAAAACTGAAAAAAAAAACAAAATTAACAGAAACTATAACAACTATCTTTATAATAGTACGTTAGCGCAAAGCAGTGAAATTATTTAATGCGTGATAGCGAGAGAGATACACGATGACCTTGCAGTGGTGCAACGCGTCGATGCCCCCCTCCCCCCTCTGTTTGCGGCTATACTCGTACGAACTTCGTTGGCGCAGAGTTATTTGGCGCGTATTATGCGCTCCACTCTAGCAAGGAGCCACTTTCCTGGTGGGGTAACGCACACGGGCAAAGATCAAGGTGCCTTCGTCTGCTTCTCTCAATTTTCCTGCAACATTTTGTATTGATACTCGGCTCCTTTACTCCGAACATTCAAACAAACTTACAAACTTTACCTCTTTTTAATATTAGTATGGATTGGTGTACTGATCATTCTGCATTGGCGCTTTGATGAAGATGAATGTGGAATCTCTTGCAACCATGGCAATTTCTATAAATATGTACTAACGTGTAAATTCTGTTTGCGAAGCGCGCCAAGATTCTTTACTTTTAAATGACAACTACCGCACTAGGAATATATCCTGTGTCGCGGGGACTTTACAAACATGAAACGGACACAAAGAATATTCTTTATGGATCAACCAAAGTGTTGTCCCATGTGCTGTGCTGTGATGTGTGCACCAAAAACCGAAACTAATCGGTTGTCGCATACATAACATACCACCAAGGGGATCTGTACATGTACAATTATGACTATTTCGCTCCATCATATCCATTTTTTGTTTTAAACTAAACTTCAAAATACAAAGCATAAATAGCCTTTAGCTGTATTTGTCAAGGGACTGGCCCGGATGCTGTTACATCTTCCAATATCCGACAACTTATCATGAAACAGGCGTTCTCTAAGTTGTTGGTGCCGAGCACATTCCATCAAAACATGTTCGAATATTATAAAGGTGCGTACGGATAGCGCGTTCCTGTGTTACGCGTAGTTGGGAGACACTGTCCACGCGTACATTGGATACGCGTACAGCTCCTGTACGGACCGCCGCGAACCTGTACGCGAGGTCAATCGATCCAGAGCGCTCCGCGAGCCCCAGTCATACGCCATGACGCCGACAAACTTAGCGATTGCGTGCACCACCACTGCTGCAGCATTACTCATTATTCAACACATTTTAAATTAAAAAAAGAGAAACAAACGGAAACCTAGATGGTGGATGAAAAAATTGTATCGTGAAAGATTACAGTGTGGAAATAGGCTTATGGAAGATTTAAATTATGAAGAAAGTGGGGACAAAAATTTGCTATCCCACAAGACCCGGTGAAATTCATAAAGTTGAATCAATCTGATGATATTTTCATTATTGAAACTCGAAGAACATGCGTGTTTATTCATTTTGCCGTCCAAATATAGCGTACCCGGTCGTGTGCGTTCTCTTTGACGCGCGACCAAAAACCGACTGACAGCGGCTCGCGCTGCGAGCTAGCTCGCGCAGTACGCGTTCCCCAAGAGTGTACGCGTAGCTGCAAGTATGGACATGACGTTCCGGACACGCGTAAACTGACTACGCGTACCAGTGTACGCGCTATCCGTACGCACCTTGACTCAACATAGAGTTGTTAGTACTGTGTACACGTATAAACGTTCGTGTTTTATTATCGTGTTTTTGTTTCTTGATCAAAAAACCGTATCACTAAAAATATTAAAAACAAAAAATAAACACGTCAAAAACAACTAGTGTTAGAGTTTTAACAATTTTTGTAAATTTAATTATTTTTCTACATACAACACAAAAAATAAAGAAAAATTGTTGTAAATTCTGATTATTATACGAGGAATCATTAACTATCAGTAGTATCACAACTAAACAACTTTGAAATTATAATTTTTTCATATTATTAAAAAAAATCATAAGCCTATTATTTTACGAGTTGATCTAAATCAGATCCTGATTGTGCTGAATAAGAACACCATTTAAAAAAGTTTATAGTTTATATTCTTAATTCATTTATATTTACAGGATACAATTTAGGATAAGTTTAGTCATTTCAAAAATTAATAAAAATTGTCATAATTTGTTTCTGTTTTAATTTCAACCTTGACGTTATCTGCACCTATGACAGGATCTATCTCTGCAGATTTATATTGAGCTTCTAGTTTTATGAAGTCTGGTGTAACAATAGGTTTTACGACTATATTTTGGCATTCCGGTGTGGTTGTGGTCTCAGCGTTTTTATGACATGACATGACAGGATCTATCTTTGCAGATTTATATTGAGATTCTAGTTTTATGAAGTTTGGTGTAACAATAGGTTTTACAACTATATTTTGGCATTCCGGTGTGGTTGTGGTCTCAGCGTTTTTCTGTCGTATACGATGCACTTTTATAATGGTTCGCTCGGGTTTCTTAGGTACAGTGGTCGATGTAGAACCAGATGTGTGTACAATATTTTGTATACTATTTTTTGCTTTTATAAACACCACCTCAGGTAGACATTTAGTTTTGTCAGTTGCTTTCTGAAACACCTTTTGGGTATTGGGCAGATTAGGGCTTATATAGTCTGTGTAGGCTTGCATGGAATTAACATTTGATTCAGGCTCAACATTTGGCTGTTTGATGCCGAGAATTTTTTCAATGTCATTCATTTTGGAAATAGCTGGACCTCCTTTTGTAGTGTATACAGTTGTAGTTTTTACATATAGTTTTCTCTGTGTTACGAAACAGGGGTTTTCTTTGGTTTGAATATTTACTTCACTTGAATGTTTTTTTTGAGTTGGCGGTTCAGGTTTATCAACTGTTAAATCATAGATCGGCTCAGAAATTTCTACTTCCGAAACATTTGTTTCACATCCATTTATTTTACTTTTTTTCGCAGCACTTGTATCATCTTCTTCATCTGGCAAATTGTAAGTTTCGCTACTCCTTTTTAACGATTCTAATGCTTTTGTAAAATTTTCTGTGCCAGGTTTTCCCTTCGCAGCTATTAAATGATAAATAGTTTTCGTTGAAATACCTGTAGCCTGTGCAACACGATACCTTACTTTTCCGAAATATCTTACATCAGTTTCAAACTTTTCGGCTTCCAACGTAAAATATATATATACTCTGTATAATATTTCCCGAGCGTCGTTACTTAATTTTACACCTCTCACCATACTAAAAAAATATATAAATGTATTTATCAGTTTTTGTAGACGCAAAATAGTAAATCTTACAATAAAAAGCTATACAACTTTACCTTTGATATATTTTAAACAAATGTTAATATACTCTACATTAATGTTTTCTAAAATTATATTCTACATTAATCTCGTTCGAAAACTTAAAATTAAGTAAAAAATAATTTTAAAACCATAAAAGTTTGCTCCAGAATTCACTTTTTAGATTTTTTATTTCTTTACATCCCTAGCCATTAGCACAAGCGAAGTAAAGATGAATATGACACGATCCTCTTATGTCCTAACACACATACATACATAGGGATTAATTTTTAGCTTGCCATAGTTGGCTACAGAATGAATCAATTAACTTATTTCTAACCAATATAACTCTTAATCAAGTTATTTATCTATTTAAAAGAAAAACATATTATGCGCGTTGCTAGAAAATACACACATTTTGTAGAAAATCGCTTATCACATCTAAGTATTGTCAAATAAACTGTAACGAATATAGTTTTTTACAGTTTTATGGCACACTTGACTTCATAAAGACTGTTGTGTGAAATATAAAAAACGACTATTACAAAATGATTAGAGTACGTTTTTATTAAAAAAACCTTTAAATGACAAAAGTAGGACCTTAGTTTACTTTCGGTGCATTTCGATACATAAATATTTATTATATGCAGTGAACACCTAATAATTGCAGCATCAAGAATAAGTATGATGGAATAAATTAATTATAATATGACGTACCTGCTATTTATTAAACACGTGTAGTATCAGCCAGCTCTGTGTATATATCGTCTGCTACACAGATGCGTGCTTTCCCGCCAAACGTTGGTCGCGACTAACGTCAGTCGTGACGTTGCCGTCCATCGTGGAGCGGGCTATAGCTATCGCATGTTTTTGAACGGGATGAAAAGAGATAAGAATAATTTCGTGGCATGCAGCCGAGCGGCATTGTTATTGACATGTTTAGTATTAATAGTTTCTTGGCCGGAGTGAAGTTGTTACCTTCTTCATTGAAAAAAAGGCTTTTTATATAAAACAGTACACTGATTAGGTGACACGAAGACTTTTAATAGTTTTAATGACGCGATACAGATAGGTTTGAATTAATATTATGTATATCTGATTCTCTTTTAGAATTAATATCCATGCCGTGTATTAATAATGCATTTGAGTTCTAATGTACAAATTAATATTAATTCAATGAGATAGATGTCTTGTTTTTCAAATTACTGCACAAAAATATGGAAGTAGATACTTAGTTTGTTGACGAGACATTAAATATCTCTGACGAAGAATTTGTTCTTCAAAAAAAAAATTACTCCGATAAATACAGGAAAGCGTGACAAAAGTTGTTAAATTACACATATTCTTTTTATATTTTTAATAGACAACTCCCGCTTTAGGAACATTACCCTGTGTTGCGGGGGACTTTACAAACATACATGAAACGAACACAAAGAACACACAGACTCAGAAAAAAAGTGTTGTCCCGCGTGGAGATCGAACCTACACTCGGCGCAGTAGGAAACGGCGTGGTAACCGCTCCATCCGTTTAGTCAGACATGACAAAAAAAAGTATGGTTTTGTTTTATGAAACCACGATACAAGTAAAACTTTTTTCGGATAATAGGCATTTATCTGAAAATTATTCGATTTAGGGTATTAAAGGCGCCAGTCTGTCTGGCTTCCCTTTCTCTCACGCATACGGCAGCGGTAGACAAGCTTCAGTCATTCAACTTAGATTAGTTTAAGTTATTACTTCTATCGGGCGTCCCGAGACGCACACGTTTTTTTTATGATACAGGGGGCAAACGAGCAGACGGGTCACCTAAAGGTAAGCGATTATCTTCGCCCATGGACACGTACGACACAAGAGTGGCAAGTGCGTTGCCGGTAGCGTTTGTGTATCTTTTCGCTCCAGTGACCTCTCTCACTCGGTGAAAAGACACGAAAGAACAGAGGGCTGAGTGCAAGTTTATTTCACAGCGATTTGCTGTCGACGGCGAGCGCGTTTGGCGTTGTGATTGGATGAGATTTTAGCGCGGGCCAATCGCAACACCGAATGCGGTCACCGTAACGAGCGAGTAGAAGTAAAATAAACTTATACTAGGCCCTATGCTTAGCACAGGTTTTCTGTGAGACCGTGGCATCACTCCGATCGAGCCTGCCCATTTACGATAACTTCAACTTAAGTATTAAATTGACTGACCCGTTGGTCGACTGGTTATTGATTCCGATTCCCACCCAGGACAAATAATCGTGTGATGATGATGCACGGTCATTTGTTCTGTGTCTGGATGTACTTTATGTAAAATATGTATGTATTTAGAAATATATAAGTATGTTGATGAGCAGTCTGGTTACTGTAGTACAGGCTCTGCCTAGTTTGGGAGCAGACCGCCGTGTGTGTAATGTTTGAAAATTTTGTTAAATTGACTATTGCATTTTCTGTATGCAGAGTCAACTGGCGAGTCTGCTGAAAACGGCCGAGGAGTTACGCATCAAGGGTCTCACTGACATACGGTGGAACAACAAGGATGAGCCTCCTGACTGTGAAGCTGGTGGGTATACCTTTAATTTTTATGGTACAGGGGCGAACGAGCAGACGAGTCACCTGGTGAAAAGTGACTACTGTCGCCCACAGAGCCTGTAACCTAGGAGTCTCATGCGCGTTGTCGGCATCTGAGGTGAGAGTACGCTCTTTACTTGAGGGTTTGAATGTATACCTGTAAAATGAATTTAGTTTCTTCCTAGGGGTGATTAAGACTGACCACGCCTTTGGATACTTTATAAACAAGGGACAATACGTTTACCAGAGAATATATCACTTGAAAATATGGAGAGAAGCTTTTGCCCGTGGTTTCGCTCGTTAAATTTTGTCAACCAATTCAATTTCCCTCGCAAACAATACTTTTTTAAGTGAAAGATACTTCTGGTAAGGAGAAGGTAGCCCTGCAAACGTGTATTCAAGGTTTTGATGATGATAGGAGACAAATAAACAAGCAGGCTTTCGCTTTTACAATATTAGTTATGACGTTAGTACCCATCATCATCATCAACAGCCTTTAATAGTCCGCTGCTGGACATAGGCCTCTCCTTAGAAATGGGGTTTTAGCCGAATGTACCACGCTTGACAGACCGATTGGTATAGGGTTTGTTTAAAGCTTTCCTTCTCTTTGCAGTGCTGTTGTCTTGCGTAGTTTGATCGACTCTTACGACACCCACGGGATAAATAGGGGTGGTGATACTCTGGATTCTTAATCCGTCACCACACGAACGTTAGTACCCAATAAGGTAGATTAGAGGAAGAACAAAGTAGATAGTACTATGCCTCGGAATGCACACTTATTCGACACTTGGTCGCTTACCATCAGATGGCCCGTCTGCTTGTTTTCTTCCCTTATACTAAAAAAAAACTAATCAGCCTAAACCCTTTATATAATAGCATACATTACACTTTCTCCAAATCAGATTGAGAAAAGACTATGACCATTGGTTTAAAAACGATGATTTTGAAGTTACTCTGTGATCCTCATTCCAGGTATAGTAGCAACAGCCACCCCTTCAGACCCAAAGCCGCTGGAGAAACAGCAGATAGAAGCGAAGCAACCGAAGCACCCGTCGCCGAAGCATTCGCCGGAGCTGCCCGAACAGAAGCCGAAAGACGACGAACATAAGATTAGCGAAAGATTTAATGTTAACGGTAATAAAATGTTTATTTAATTATAATAGTAGTCGGTTCAGCTTGGCTGTGAGTTTGATTCCCGCTTTGTGTTTTGAACAAAGATATGTGATGTGCGTGAGTGTCTATTTACAATGATTTGAGTATCTCAAATTACGTCGAGCCTATACCATGGTGACCATGGAGCCTGCTGATAAACATACTTATGTATTTCTAAAAACATAGATACAACAGATAAATTACACCCAGACACAGAAAACATGATGGCAGTGGTCGAACCTCATGATTTAACAACAAGTTAGTTTATCTTCTTTTACAAACTAAGGTACAAAGCATCATTTTTATAATTTTAATCTGTTTGTTTCCAGGCGGTCCACCACCTTTAATTAAATTACCTATAAAAGAGAAACACAGTCCTGTGAAACGAGAACATTCTGATACGTAAGTATATAATAATATGTATTTGTTATTTTAAAGATCGCCTGAAGTCAAAGTTTGATCACAATATAATATTTTTTGTAAGTTTTATTTGTCCTATTACACTTAACATTATAAAGAAGAAAGTTTGTGAGTGTGTATGTTTGCTACTTCTTCAGCCTCGAACGGCTGGACGAATTTTAATAAAATTTCGTATCCCGACTAAATGTAGTGTTCATGGGGATGAGCAAATATCCATCATACCATCATACCTAAGCTTTTAAAATACTTACTCCTTCTAATTATAACCAGCATTTACAACTAGTACTTAAAATTTAAATTAGCGCGAACAGGCAAAAAGTCTTGTTCACATATTATAGAATTAAGTCGTCTTTTTTCTTGTACGCTTAAATCTTTTAAACTAAGCAACGGATTTTATTGCGTTTCGCCAATCACCCTCCGATTTAGGATTAGGGTTTATATGTATAATACATGCATATTATAGTCGAGAAAATCTGAGAATTACAAAGACTTGTCGTTTGTCGAATACTTTTAATACGTTGTGCATTTAATGTAGATAAGAATTGTCTTTTACAGCATATAATTAAAGTAAATATCTTAGTAGATATAGAGATTTAAATTTCACCTAGGCAAAAAAAAAGATAGATAAAACAGAAACAAACACATAAGGATTTTTTGTTCCTTATGAGGAAGGGAAACCTAAATATAGGAATATCACACTTTTCTATGAATATTTTTTTTGTATATAAAAAACAAATCTTAAATCAAGTTTTTATATTCCAGTGATAGTCCGAGTCCGAAGCGACAGAGGCAGACGAGTCGTTCAGAGCTCACCGACGATGACCTCACTGTACCCAAACTGTAAGTTACTTAGAACTATTTCTAATACGTAATTTTCGACCTATTTCAAATATCCGTGTAACGGATTAAGAATACGGAGTGTCACCACCCCTATTCATCCCGTGCACTGCATAGACAAGAAAAACTAGCAACGAGCCCTATACCAACCCGTCTGGCCAGCGTGGTATATTAGGCCAAAACCTCATTTCTAAGGAGAGGTCTACATCCAGCAGTGAGTGGAATACTAAGGGCTGCTGATGATGATGAGTTTTCAACAAGTTTACCAGAGTTCCTCCCTCCCACTATCCTGATTTTAGGGTAGGGGACTCAAAAGGTATTAACACTTGTAACTCTTTAAGTTACAGGTGTTCTTTGGCAGCGGTAGTCACATACCATCAGGTGACCCTTCTGCTGGTATACTCCCTATACAGTAACAATAAATATAGGGGTGGCTCGACCGGTGTGATGTCACGGTATCACAGAAAACCAGTGTTCAACAATAGAGTCGCTGCTTTTCATTTTTCATTTTTTTTTTTATATATAATTGTTGTTGCTCTTACACAAAACTGGTCAACCGGTTCGACACAGGTTTCACACCTAGCTCAGGCTGTTTGCAAAAGAATTTGTGATATTTTAATTTTACCTTTTTCTATTCACTCTTGCACATTTACGAGTAGTCATATACTAGTTATGTTAGCCTTAGTAACAAACTTTATATAAGAATCTAATGACAATAAGATGTACTTAAGACCTTATTCTGATTCTGCATATAATTTTATTGTTTTTATTTTTTGTTATAGAGAAAGAGAACAGGACTGGCAGCATGGCAACCTGGTGAGTACTCTCTTTTCACAGCGTTTAAGTAATAATAGATAATTATTTGTCGGGATTTTTTGCTATAAAATAATGTGTGGTGTAACCACACATTATTTTATTGCAAAAGATCCCGTTTCTTTTACTCAACAATCTATAGTTTTTTTAAGGTATTATTGGGTAATTTTGACGGACCTGTTGGTTTAGTGGTTAAAGAACCTGACTGCTAAGTTGGAGGTCGATTCTTGGTTCGATTCCCATGCAGGACAAATATAATGTGACAATGATAAGTGATCATTTGCTCTGTGTCTGGGTTTAATGTATCTATAACTAGCTATTGCCCACGGCTTCGCTCGCGTGTTTATTTCTTATTTCGTGTTTCTAACTTTGAAAATGACGAATTTCTAAATAACCAATAAGCAATTTAATGGGCCTACGACATAGAAAGCATCAGCTGTCAAAATTTCAAGTTTGTAGCACCAGAGGTTTAGGAAAACGCTACTACCAAAAATAAGAAGTTTCGTATAAACTTCCAACCAACATTTCTCACCCTTAAGGACTAATGCTTCTAGACCTAGCGGTTACCGCTGTGCGTTGATCGATCAGTCAGTGAATCAGTCTATCAGTTTCTTGAAACAAACCCTATACCAACCCGTCTGTCCAGCGTGGTATAGTAGCCCAAAACCTCCTTTCTAAGGAGAGACCTATGTTCAGTAGTGGACTACTAAAGGCTTATGAACAACAGAGAACAGTACATCACAGAATATTAATGAGAATTGTTTGCTAATTGGGTATGATTTAAATTTCAGGACATAACAGCAGAGCGGGTAGTAGGATGGGGCATGTCTGGGGCGTCGACGTCGCGCGATGCGTCGGACGACGAGTGGGGGGATGCGCCCACTGACATCGGCTCCTTCCTGCACACCAAGCTGAGGGTGGACGGAGACAACAGCGCTGGTGAGTATTCATCCTTCGAATATTTTCTCAAACTAGGATGAACTCGGTTTTCAGTCAACTACAACACGACTGAACTTCGATTGTCTAGCGGAGCGCCTGCCATCAGACCTCCACAACCCAAGTACCAGGCGATATCGGTTCTAGGATTCCAACTACCGGTAACGAATGCCACAGATGTTTGTATGGTAACCAGGACCGACGCCTTTAGAGGGGTTTCAATGTGTTAAGAATGGTCACCCATCCATTGACTTGACTAGGTTTGCTTAACTTTGCATATGATTTGCTAACCTTAGTTACAACTTAGCTCCTCTGAGTACTCGCCTACGCTATTATGTGTCTATATTTACGGTCAACAGCTGTTTTGTAATAAAATCGCTAATTTATTGTATTTAGCAATTCCTCGATATTCTCGAGATTCCGATCCTAATGATATTTCCTTTTGTTACAAGACGAGGAGTCGAACGAGAGCGTCCCCCTGGCACCTCCTTCGTCTTCATCGTCGTCGCTGTCGACAGCTGCCGCTGGAACTGCCTCCGAGCTAAGGGTCGAGCTCGCCAAGGCACAGCTGACACTCGCGCAGAGGCGTGAGTACACATACATACATACTTAGCGGTCGAATTCGCCGAGACACAGCTGACCCATATCCCAGTAACAATCTAATTATAATTAAAATATATTTTATTTGTTTATTAGCAGTTACAATAGGCCCGAAGTCGGGTCCCACGGATCCCCGGTTCACGGACGTTGTGAAACTGACAGATTACCTACAGCACGGGAGAAGACCGCAGTTCTGGGAGGAGAATTACGTCAAAAGGGTAACTATATATTGGAATAAAGCTAATTCGTAATAATAACATAAATGCGAAAGTTAATTTGCCTGCCTGTAATAGTTTTACACCGAAACCACTGAAACCAATTTAAACAAATTATAGGCTAGTTGATTCAATTTGAAAACTTGATTAGTTATATACTTTAATATCTACTTCATCCCAAAAAAACTATATTTTGAAGAAAAAGCAATATTTACATTACGTATTTTGCATTATAAAAAATCAATTTAAATTTTCCTTGAAAACGCTGAATAGTGTCATGGCGTCTTGAATGACATCACAGTCTGCGAAACAAAACTGTTTATATCTGTGTCCAGTGTCAACTGTTTTCTAAAATGAATTCTTCATATTACAAGTACTGTATAGTGCCCGAGTGTAATTCTAATCTCAAAATATGTCAAAAGAATAGGTCTAGAAACTATATGTACATAATAGAAAATAGCTTATAAAACTGAAATATTGCTCACTCGCTTAACTTATTAAACTAAAAAATAAATAAATAAATAATTTGAAACTATAAACCAAGCAATTTGTTATTAGTGGACACAAGCCTATTTATCATTTTGCTGAAATACTTATCCTGAAACCTGATTACAGCAGCATCTGCTTAGGACGGCTCGGAAAGAATGAATACCTTCCGAGGTTACCGAGGTTACCTGATTACCTGATTCGACCATGAATCATTACATTTGATTCAACGTTTTGACTCCACATGTTTTTGTGTCATAAATTAATACTTTTCCGACAGGTCAACAAAGTAATATATTCGACACTTCGAATTGTTGTAATCTTCTAATAGAATTATTAATTTACAACAAATGCTTGTTTAAATTATTTTACACTTTTTAGGAATATAAATTTGAAGTATTCCTTATACATATATACACTTCTAAGTGCAAGTAATTAGTTTTAAAAGTACCAAAAATACTCTTTACATATTATTTATTTTAAAAAGACAACACACAGAAAACGGACACAACGAACAGCCACCAGACTCACAACAAGAATTTGTGGAACTCAAAAACTGTTGTCCCATTTGGGGATCGAACCCACAACACTCAGGCGAGTAGAAAGCGGCGTGGCGATTACGCCATCCGTGCAGTTAGTCTGTACGAGTATATACATTATACATAGACAAATTATTGTTTTTCTCAGGTAATGGAAGCCGTCCGACTAAAGGAGTTAGAAATGAAGCAAGCCGCTGAGATTCTGGGAGTGAGTTATGGCACGCTCTATGGTCGATATCGGGACGTGTATGGCTGTATCAATAGGCCGTATAGGTAAGCTGTTTTTGTTACTACAGCGGCAAATTAGTACCCGGTCCCTCAATTATCTTCTATCTACATAATATATAAAATTGTTAAGTTGGTTTGTGTACGCTTCAAAAACTCAAAAAATTCTGCACCAATTGAGCTCAAAATTTTAAATGAAATACTAACCGCTTTAATGCGGATTGTATCTTGAAGCCCTTATATAGTGTACTGGTAGATTATTCGAATATCACTGCGGAGAGTATAGGTTCGAAATGTGACCATCGCAAACATTTCTAAGTTTTTTTTTATAATCCTTGTCTGTTAGTCTTTTTATTTATTTATGACTTCGTACATAAAAATATACATCGGCGGACTTAACGTCTAAGGCATTCCTGTCAGTCGACTGATTGGGAGATGCTGAGAAAGAATGAGGTAGGTGTATTTACGTGAGGGTAATAAATGATAGAATTTTTATTAAGTACCAACTATTTTGTTTTTTGAACAGACAAATATACGCAGTAATATATACATATACCCAAATAATAATATTTCACACAACTCAACAGGGCCGTCTGATCTCAAACTAGACAGAGCCTGTACGATGGTAACCAGACTGCTGATAAACATACTTATATATATTTTTAAATACTAACGTATTATAGATACAGACCTAAAACAAATGACCGTGCTCATCACACAATATTTGTCCTCGGTGGGAATCGAACCCACGACCACCGGCTTAGCAGTCAGGCTCACTTACCACTAGACCAACAGGCCCGTCAAATATTAGAAAACAAATATAAAAATACATATATTATAATAAAACACAATAATTGTAGGGGATTTGTGATCTTTTTGTTTGAACTCTTAACGGAACTCGTGGGATTTACGGAACGGGAGGTGGAGTAAAGCCAGGAGTATAGCGTAGTGTAGTGGATGTGTGTCTCAAGCAGCTCGTGTGGTGTCAGGGCGGTGCGCGAGTTCTGGCAGGCGAAGGGCCCGTCCGAGGTGCTGGAGCGGCTCCAGCGCGGCGAGGTGTCGCTGCACGCCGCCGCGCAGGCGCTCGGCGTCTCCATCGCCAACCTCGCCGCGCACGTCGCAGACTTCGGCGTGCCCGACAAAGGTACGCCCTCACTCACGCAGGGACCACAGGATATTGTCACTTTCTGCTAGATAAAGGCATACCATTACATCTTGTCTTCGCCATATGTATGGTGACGGATTAAGAATATGGAGTGTCAAACCCAATATTCATCCCGTGGGTGTCGTAAGAGCCGATTGAGGGAGCAAACTACGCAGGACAACAACACTTGAGACGGAAAACTTGAAATAAACCCTGTACCAACCTGTAAGGCCAGCGTGGTATAGTAGGCTTAAACCTCCTTGCTAAGGAGAGGCCTATGTCCAGCAGTGGACTAGTAAAGGCTGTTGATAATTATTACTTCTTGCCAAATTATTATTTATTGATAAATATTGATAAAGATGATACCTAAAAACTGCAATCTAAATCAAACTACATTTAAAGTAATTATGCAACCAGCTATCTAGCTATCGCAGAAGATGTAAAAATATCTGAAAAGATTTACTTGCAGAAATATCGATCGTAAAAGGTTCATTACCCCTGACGCCAGACGCTCATGAGGAGCATCTTGCGTCAGTCAAGGTTAATGAACCATTGACTATGTAACTACAATTTCTCTCATCCATACTTATATTATCAATAAAAATGAGTTTGTTTGTTTGTTACGTTTTTACGCTTAAAAAACTAAACCGATTTATAAAATTCTTATACTAATAGAAAGCTACATTATCAACGAGTAACATAGGTTTTTTTTTTACCGCGATAACCGACATAGTAAAAGGCTAGTCATGAGAAATTATCTACTTTATTTTTATGACATAGAAGGCAAACAAGCAGACGGGGCATCTGATGGTAAGTGACTACCCGCGTCCATGGACACGAGTCACAAGTGCGTTGTCCCTCTTTGTCAGAATCTCTCTAGAATTAGGGAGAGGGGAGTTTTGAATAATAAAGGATCATCATCATATTCAGCCTATCGCAGTCCACTGCTGGACATAAGCCTCTCCCATTGCATACCAAATAATAATGGATAATATATATTAATAATAATATTGAATGTTCTAAATGTTTTTCAGACTTTGACCAGCCGATCCCAATAGAGATGGACCCATCGCTGAAGATCCGCTCCAGCAGTACGGTGGCCAAACCCCCGCGGAAGCCGCCGCCGCCTGCTGCCACCGCTCCGCTTGACAAGGTAAGCTTACCTTGAAATACCTATTGTAGAAATAACTGTAACTGGTCAAGCAAGTGTCTTCTTAAAATCTAATTCTTGACACTCTAAGGTTACTTAAATGTAAGATTTTGGTAAATATTGATACCATTATTCACATTTCAAAATTAAACGAAAATATATAACATCAATTTGTTACATGCGCAGTGTATAACCATACCTACCATCGCTGCCCATAGACACTTGGAACTTTAGAGTTAAGTGCGGTGCCGTTGACTTTTGGGAGTACCTCCTCCTCCTCTTGTAATAAGTGGTTCAGTACCCAGTAACCAGTCTCTCAGAAAAATACAACGACATAATTGCCAAACACCAGTTTGCCAAAAACTGTGTATTTAAAACAATACATTCTCTTTCTTTGCATGATGTCTTATTTTCTACTTGTTCATGCCTGCTTAGTTCAAAAACTAAACACAAGATGGTGTTACTGTTGATGAATTTACTCCTCAATAGATGGCGTTATCCCACATTATGAAAGTTAACTCTGCTATGACTTATAATTTCTTCATTGTTCTACAGGCGATGAAGAAGATACTAATAGGGAGTGTGACTGATGAGGAGCCGATACCCGCGACGTTGATCACGACGTACGACCCCAAACAACCCCCCGTCAGCACCCCAGCCGCGGCGAGTAAGTGTGACATCTCAGACACGACCGCTTGATCCCCAACCAGGCAGAGTCTGTTATACTAGTAACCAGACTGCTGATAAACATACTTATATAATTGTAAATACATAAGTACATTGTGGTTGCAAATAATAGATAATATGTTACCACATTTCTTCTAAATAAATGAATTAGATAAAAAAAACAACTCTGAAGCGTCACAAAATTTGAGTTTAATCGGTGCAGAACTTTTTGAGTTTTCGAAGCGTACACAATCATTTTTTTTAAATTAGATTACACTGGACACAGAACAAATGATCGTGCTCATCACTTTATTATTTGTCCTGGATGAGAATCGAATCCACAACCTCTGGCTAAACATTCAGGGTTACGGACCACCAGACTAATAGACCCGTCAAATATTTCATACAAGAAGCCTTCTTCTAAAAGAAAGTTAAGCGAACCTTATGCAGCCGCATAGGCTGTGTAATTCTTCTCTATGAACAACTCTACTATGAACGCTGATTGGCTAATTTAAACAGCGCACGCTTCGTACGGCTTCCTGTTACATACTTCCGCGTCTTTAACAAAATTGCATGAAATCGAGAGGGAATTATTAACATCAAAAACATAAATTACTAAAGAACAACCCTAAGTAATCAAAGGTATAATGGTAGGGTTGAATGGGGGATAATGCTTTTTAAAAGCTAGCTTCGACTAGCTGAGATCAGGTCGTCGGGTAAAAAAAATTCTAATGTGTGATACAGAGCGTCAGTTACGAATTAGTTCAGGTTCCTTTACTAGATGACGCTAGATGTTGGTCACGAATCCTGAAAGAAAAATTTGAAAATGGAAATCAAATTGCCTTTTGTTTCCAGGTGGTAAATGGCCATCGATTCGCGTGGCGTCTTTAGACACACTCCGCGGGAACGAACCCCCTACCACCGCAGTGCCCACCCCGGCCTCGCCCTCAGCTCTGATGAGGACCAGGCCGGACCTGACCATCGTGGCCGCGAAGAAGTCAACCGCTGAAGATGAGGAGCAATCGTGATGTTCAGGGTATCTAGATGATACAGCTGGATGTTGGTAAAACCGGTCTGTGACATGTAAATTATTGAAAAAAAGATATATAGTTATTATAGGAAAAGCCGATCTTTTATTAACTTAAGGTACGAAAAATACTCAATGACTTATATTTTAGAGCAGGGGTTCCCAAACTATTTGGACAAGAGACCCCTTTTCTAAAATGAACTGATACCTCAGACCCCCATAGCTAAATTACTACACGCTTATCGACTTGTTGAGTTTTTTAAAAGTACAACAACGATACTTTCTACTAAAACACTAGTCATCTTACAAGTTAGTACACACTACACGTAGCACAACTAATACAGTATCTTGAAAGTTGCAAATAAGGACTTGTGTTATTTAATAGAGGTTGATTTTTAGACCCCCAAAATCAGTTTTCGAGGCGTCGATATCGACCACTTTGGGAATCCCTGTTTGAGAGGCTCTGCAAAAAAACCAAGCTTTGGTTAATCCGGTAATAGTTCATTATTTTTTTTTACACATAAAGAAAATAATTTAATTTTGGTTTTAAGCCTTTCCTCGATAACAGTACCTTATATAAGATTGAGTGGAAATACATACATATGTGCAATATTTCTGTTTGAATTGACAATTTATCTCGTGAGCATATCAAGTGATGTAGATAATTTATAGATAATTGCAAATTTATTCACTTTATTAACACTAGACTTGGTAGTCCTATGAAATTTCCTTTCGGGAATCCTATGTTATATTATGTTCTTATACTGAGAAATTATTTATATTAATTATTTAATGTTTGAAGTGAGAAAAGGATGGATGCCTAATAAAGCATATTTATTAAATATAATTACTTTTAAATTGATGAAAACAATATGTCTAGATTTGGCATAACCTCACGATTTATGTTGCTTTTTATTTTTTAAACTAAATCAATTTATACTAGGCCTCAATTCTGCTATTTGATGTGAACGTATAAGCTACTGTCATTTCATTATTGAGATGCCATTGGGACGCCATTGACATCGGTCGAAATATCGGTATTCTACTAACATAAATTCACAGTGTTAGTGGACTGTCGATGTAGTGTAGTGTAGCAATGGCTCATCAATGATGATATCAACAACATTGCCATATCTGGCAAAATTAAATATATGATTTCCTTACAATTTTAAAATGTATCGTTTACCAAACTATTACATAGACATCGACGACATTTGTATCAGTGGCAGTTCAGTGACAAGCCATCGGGATATTGGTCTTCCATAGTTAGTAGAATACGAAAAGTGCAAAACTATTTCGACGACATTCCATCGACAGTCTGCTGATAAAATATCAGAATAGCAGAATTTAGGCCCTGTAAATTAAAAAGTATTTAAATAACCGTTACTTTTATGAGTTATCATAAAATTTATTGTACATGAATTCATTCAAATGTTTATTTATTGTCTGCCATCACTATCATTTATTTGGCAAGCACATTAGTTTCGGAACCAACACGCGCTCTTGATCAAGAAGCAAAGAGACCTGTTGCGACTATGTCAGGACGCGCTGAATGCACACGTGAATAAAAATATTTATATTAAATATCACTTAAATAATTTTCATATTTTTGATCCCATTTATATATTTCCGAGACGCCCGATGAGTTTCGGGGCCAAAAGGGGGTCAATCAAGAGTTTGAGCGACCTATCATGTCAAACTTAGAACACACTGAATGCAGTCGTAATAAAATTGTATATTTTAAAGATTTTTTTTTGTCGCAGACCGGTCCCTTAAAGTTTGTTAAGCGCAATGCTATGACCAAACTGTCAATATCTAAGACAAATTTTGTTTTTGTCCATATATTATAAATTAATAATATAAAGAATTGTTCTCAGGTCGATTGTATAATCTCAATAATATTTGTTTGACAAACTCAAGGCTTGATAACGACTGATTATGGTTTCAATTCGGTTCTAATTTCTGTTTTATCTAAATGTTAAAAAACATAGTTTCTTTAAAGTTATGTGTTGTTTTTCGTTAAAAAACACTGTTGTACGGATTCATTTTTTTTATATTTCACTAAAATGGATAGCTTACAAACGTTTTTGATTCGCTAAAGATTGAACTTATTTCAACATTTCTATTTACATGTAATTATTTTTTTTCTAAAACAATTTGTTTATCTCGTGAATATAAGAAAAGAATTGATGTTGAAGGTTTTTTTGTATCAGTGAATAACACACAGATACGAATTATTTAGACTCTTTTAGCGCCGTGTTGAGACCATAACCAGATTGATACTGTTATTAGTTAATTATTTTTATGTTCTAATAATTTAGTATAATTTTGACTGATGCGTTGTATGAAATAAAGCTGTTGTTTGAAATTTGGGTGCGCGGCTGTTTGCGAGCTATTTTCGATGAATGTTATAGATTCTGAATATAGTTATTTAGCAAAACTATATTAGACAAAGTCATTAAGGCCCTTTATCAACTTGGGTGGGACTCTTTAATGAAATATCGTTAAACTGGAACTTTAAATAATAACGTTCCGTATCATAGACAATGGTTCTTTTACTATCATAAACAAATTAAAAACAACAGCAAGTAAGACAGATTAAAAAGGATTCACATTTCCATAGACTAGAAAAAAAACTATACCGAGTATTATAAATTAAGGGTTTTGGTTATGGCAACCCTGAAACTCAAATTGTAATTAATTTATATTATAGTGTATAATATAATCAGTTTTGTATTAATATATTATCATAGTTTTAGATATAGTAGAGAAATATATAAGAGTTATACATACTTATATATTTTTATCATTATTCTGGTAAAATAAGGTAACTCTATTCAGAGGTCGTTTATACAGGATAGTTAATATAATTATACTTCGACTGTCCCAATTAAGTCGACTAGTTTCATATAATCGACAAAATTTCTGAATATTGATTTTTAATACTGCATCGATAACATTGCGTTGTAATTGTCACATATAGTGAAAATAATGTATTATAATATTCGCGAAGGATATTTATAAAAGATGAGATATCGATGAGTCGTGAAAATCTTCAACAATTTTAGAATAAAAAAATATATATAATTAAACGCCAGTTTTATGGATGCAGTAATTTATTTTTTTGTTAAATATAACAGTAATTATTTAAGAGAATTAATATATATTTGTATAATATATAAAATAATGGTCAAATCTATGAAAACCGTCGTTTATAGTAAGTTAGATGTAGATAATGTTAGACTAATGAAAATAATATATTTGTAATCACTAGTTCCTTGGCCGTTATGGCGCTAACGGCGAGCTGGGGTGGTAAACAGTGTTCTATTCAAATCTAAATAATACTCAAAACATTAAATTTTCGAATTGAATAGTTCATATTGTTTTGCGTGAATCAAGAATATTTACCTCAACATAAGACGAATAAAACTAAATTAGATGATTATTCATACAGAGTGTTAAAGGCTATGCTTCGGCATAAATGGGATGGCTCGACTGGCGTGATACACGTATCATATACGTTGTTTATCACCGAGTAAAAGAGGTTACAAACACAAATAGCCCTTATTCCTGATAAATAAATGAATTTCCTTACAATTCATTGACAATCATTATTTTCATTCAAATATACATTATAATTACACAATACTATAGTAATTTCATGCATTAATTGAATCAATATTACAATAACAGTTCTAATCTTCGACAACGGTTACTATCAGTTGTCTCTTTGGCATAGGCTTCCTCTAAGTTTTCCATATTTCCCTGTTTGTGGCTTTCCTTCACATAATATTAGTCGAAATAGAGGACTGATATGAATAAATAAAAGGTATTTAGTGCCAAATAATTAAATATCCAGAATTTTCTGAAATTGTCTCAATAAAAAATAACACAAAATTATTTATATTGACATAAAAAAATCATTAAATATTTTTTCTATATGTACACATAAGAAAAGGTTAACAAAGAAAATAGTATTTGTAAGGTAATTCGTTTGTTTGTCTGCTACATATAACGATCCTTAAATTTTTACCACAAATTTATGTAACACTACAGGCGGTTATAAATTAAACTCTGTAAAGAAAATGGCGCAACATTGAACTAAATATGTCTAGTGACTGATTGCCACCGTCAGCTCCCTTGTTTTGTTAATAAGCAATATCTTTTTGTTTATAATTTTAGCATCTGCTAACATATCCATTCAGTTTTTGTTCTAACTTGTTTATAAGGTACGCAAATATGTCGCTGCGCAAATTGTTATTGTTTGTTATTATCCGCCATCTCTCGATTTGAATATATTCCAAATACTCTAATTAATTAAGAACAAAACCAATTTTAGTACTGATATCGGTAGCCGCTTTGTATCAGGTAGGCGAGTCATGTTTGTTTATAAAAAATAATAAACTAAAAGTCTTAAACCATTAACACTGTGTGAATGGTCCTAAACACATTAGAAGTGGCAATTCAATTTATTTAGCATGAAATTCTTATTCATGTTAATCCAACGGGAAATTCAAACTTGGATAAGTTGTGGTATGCTATATTCCAAGGATTTTTGAGCTTCCTAAGAAATTTGTATCCATTTTATCACGCAATGTCTTCAAATTAATTACATTGCTTAGTCTTGGGGAAATTTAAGAAGTTACCAACTTCTTAAATTGAATCTCTCGGTATCGCAATTTCACATTATAAAAGGATGAGAAATGTTAGTTTAGCTCAGTCTTATACCCTCTGCGATCTGATAGACTCTAAAGAACGAAAAAGAGAGAAGAATGCAGAAGAATAGGACAGAAGAAAACGTGCTTTAAAGTTTTACAGATTTTATAAAAATTCTAAATAAGCTTATATGTTCTGTAAGCGGATAATATTATAAGACATGCGAATTCTATATTTTTTAAATTCGTGACGCATTTTCGTAACTTATAAACAAATTATTCCTTCTAATAGTTTATTTACTTATAATGCTTAGTATACAGTGACGATAACAAGTAAAGCAATTTATAAGTGCGGCACAGAGTTTATGAACATGGCGCCATAAGATATGAACTTGGCTGTGTACCTGCCGTGCGCCTCGAATTTTGAAAAGTCGTCACTGCTATGCTAAACACCCTGACCCACCCCAAAAGAAATTGTATTATAATAATAAATAATATATGAGAAAAGAAATACATACATTATTTTTTATATAATTTGTCCAAAATATTGGATGTCTTGAACCAAAATTGTAAAATAATTAATAATTATTAGTGTTTTGTTATTGACTCATAGTGTATAATTATTTATTAAGGTTTTTTATTATTATTATATTATTATTAATATGAAATTTATTCATAGCAATATTGTTTAGTCGGAGTTTTTTAGAGGTTTTAGTTTTTTTTGTACTTGTTTATTTGAAAACTCATAATTTTAAGGTTATTTGTTAAACTAAGTGTTAGTCACAATGCATCTGTTTATTAGTAGCTTGTTGACTGGCGATTTTTATTGGTTTCGTTATAATTCTACTATTAATTGGTAGCTTTGCGGGCCTCAACTCGGCGGCTTGCAACTCTGACTCACTTTTATAGAAGAAAACTCCAAATGTTGCCAGTGCAAAATAATTCGGCGAGCGTTTTTTAAAATTAAAAATCGTTTATATCGCAGTTATATAAAAATCATTTAGTTAAATATATACTTTTCCTATAAATTTATTTGATCGAAGCCATTTTATATATTCAATGTTTTCATTTAATTATAATAATTGTCTGTTTATATGTAAACGTGTCACTTTGTTGATTCGGAATCTAAAAGAATTATGTTATATTTAAAAAAATTTACTTGAAGTTTCTAAGTAACTAAATAGTCAAGTTGACTAAAATAATTATTTTTGTTAAAAAAATAAATTCATATAATAGAAACCTTCAGTAACTAATCTCACTAGGTGTGTGCAATAAATGTGATTGAACGTGTCCAGGAGCTGTTTAACATCTTAGTGGTGTACAAAAAGACACCTCAATCCTCAAGCATGAAACTTACATGCAATTTTGTGCCACACATACTGTTTTTCACACTTCATATACTTATAGATGTAGCAGTTACATACCTCCTAATGCAACATTAAAACAATGCTAAAAAATTAAACCATACAATAGTATCTGAGTCTATCTAGAATACTAAAATGGCTCCATCTATAGCGTTTTAATAATGTTTTCAATGGCTCCAACTGTTATCAAACTTAGAATGTTGTACAACTGTGTATAATTTGGATGATATGCCCTAAATGCAAGAATTATGTTAAGGATATCATTATTTACTTACATATTGTTTCGTTGTCTCTACCGCCACGTGACGAAGATTATCTGTTAGGAAATAATAAAAGTAAACAGTTGATATATTGCAGTTTTATTTGATTACAACATTAGCACGGTCGAAGGTTCCAGTCAGTGGAGCACCACACGACGCTCAGGGCACGCTAAAGGTCTGTCAGGGTTGTTGGACAATTGTTCCTAGAGTATACAAAGCATACTCGAGTCCAGTGACGTGCTTGCCGTGGAGCCATGGAGACATCCCCGAGTCGCAGTTTAGACGCAATTCATAGTTATGACCTATCCTTACTATTAATGTTATTTTTAGATTTGACGTTTTTAAAGGAATTGCTAAAACGAACCAACTCTCCTGGTAGTGACTACCGCTGCCTAAGAACATCTAACAGTCACAAGTGCGTTGCCGCTGCCCTCCCCCAGAATAGGGGAAGGGGGGTTCTTAGGCCTTCAGTAACTTCGGTAGGGGTTGAAATAAAAATTCAAGATTCTGTAAATAAACAAAAATTTAATGACAAATAAGACAAATTTCATTTATTTACATATACCAACCATTTGCACAAATATACCAATAAATTAGATTTAACACAAGTAACGTACAAATAATAACAGCTGGATACAACCTGCGACACACAGATGAGGGCAGGTACACACGAGCGACTTGTCGCACGACACACGCCACAGTCTCAAGTGCGTGTCAGACCTTATTACCTTCTATACAGATGTCAAAATATTACAAAAGTCGATGCGCTTTACAACAGAACAAATCACAAAACAAACAATATATCAAATTATATTATTTATTTAGGCCAACATTTTGTTATAAAAAAAATCGTTTGTTAATAAAAATAATTTCGAATACATTATACATGAAAACTGTAAGCAAATATTACTTTTTTAAACTCTCAGAATTTTGCCGTTTATACTAAAAAGCCTTTAAAATCTAAGTTAGGACAACCTTTAACTTAATTATATATTTTTGTGACAGTCTAAGTTTACAACAGTGTAGTGTTCTAATATAAATACCCCACTGCAATCCCACTGCTGGGCGTACAAGTGCACTTAACTAAGAAATAGAGCGTGCTGATGGCAGAAGTTGTTGATTACCAGCAGTCAATAATATGCTTTATCAGATCGAGCAAGAGTTTAATTTAATTTGGCCGTGCTACCTGTAGCAGCAAGTCTGGGTTGCCTTCAGATCTATAATAATAATAATAATTTGATTATTATTGATTCCGTTCTTCTGACATACAAAATGTTTCCCAGCAGTGAGAATGGTGGGACGCCACAATCTCGTCCAGTCTATATAATGTTTACAAGACACTAACATTTATATATATGGTCCGTGCAATTACATATAATATAAATATATATCTAAGTGCAAAACATATATATTTTTGTTCGTATTTTTCATATTTTATTTAAAAATTCAACACTTACAGCCATACTTACATCTACATATTAATATAAATATATATCTAAAATATGTTTTGAAGCGAAATTACAGTCTGAAATCTTCCGTTTTTTTTTATTTTTCTGTTGTATCTTGTACTTAGGTTATAAAAAAATCATTTATATTATTAGCCACTAATATGTATAAGTTAATTAATTATTCGTTGCAAGTAGCAGAAGCTTGTCTCACATCAATCATGTCCCAGTGTGGTGTACGCACCGATTGTCGGCCGTGACCATGAAAATTTATTATTTTATTTATAACATATTTTTAATGAAACGGCCGACAACAGCATGCGTCACCGTAAATCTATATGTATACCATAGCAATCAAATTCTAAGACAATATAACTATATTTTCTGTTTATAATTAGTGCTAAACACGTCAAATTCGGCTATACTATTAAGATTAAAATTTGTATTTTAGCATTGAACAATATCTAATTACTTAATTAAAAATTACGAGTACTTTTTAGAGGCGCGAGTGGCTCGGTCGGTTGGCCTTAGCAGGTAGATAAATACTATTTATGCTTAGGACATATTATTTACTATTGTTGAGGCTACTCAAGTACTCGTTAGACCCTGAACATTAAAAATAAATAGGATGTAAGCTCATGAACTTAGCAAAAAAGAAAAAAATACATCAATGTAATCATGATACTTTTAGATTATAATAAAATAATTCTGGGGTAGTTAATCTTCTTAAGTGGTATCTTTGAAAGGATGTCGACTTAAACTGACAGCCTACATTTTAAGATATTAAAGTGATAACTTCTTATGGGAGGGTAAACCGCTTCGTTACGTTACGCGTTACGGCGCCAGTCTGTCTGGCTTCCCTTTCTCTCAAGCATACGGCAGCGGTAGGCAGGCTCCTCCTCTCTCACTCTAACTAATAAAATAACTAAAAAAAATTTAAGTAATAACCTAAGCATTTCTCAAGTTAAACAATTTCAATATTAAATAGTTCAACGTAGATTGGTTTAAGTTATCACTCGGGCGTCCTGAGACGCACATGTTTTTTTTTTTATAAAAAGAATGTCGTGAAGAGAGAAGGAGGAAGCAAACTGTTTTGTTAGCCAACGTCATTTTTACTATTTCTCTTTCTTGCTAAATCCGCGTGCAGATGGAATGGAGACAGTTTATGTAACATCATTTTTACTTATCTATCCCACTAAGTAACTTATAATATTTAAATTCAACGAGTGCCTATTTTCACGGCCGAGACAGGGAGGCTTGTAAATGATTATAGAGTTGTTTCAATCGTGTATATATTAAATAAAATGCTGAAAGTGCAATATTTGACTCATAACAAAGAACGAGTGAAAGAATGAAACCTTCAAGAAAGTTAGTTATTACATTACAGATAATACGTCACACAAAGATCGTAATTAGAAGTAGAAAGACACTGATAGACGATATTATTTTTTGGGCAGCCAATGTCAAGTAACATGTAATAATATCTAAATTATAAAGCTGTGGCAAGCTATTATCAACTATATTTCAAGGACATATAGTTGAAAGTCGAAATTATTAGTTATTTTGTAAACGATTCGAGATAAATTGTTCGCTTATGATCATAATGTATGTTTCTTGTATTTGTGTGAAATAAATCAGAATTGGTACCAAGAGAGAAATTATTTTCTTTTAAAATATAACGGCAACGGAGTAGGCGGTTTATCTGATGGTAAGCGATTACCGCCGCCTACGGGCACCTGCAACTCACTCAAGGGTTGCAAGTGCCCGTGGACGGCGTGGCCGGCGTTCCATTTACCTGTTAAATATAATATTCAAGTTTTTTAAATGAGTTATAATAAATATTTTCGTTACAATAAATAAAAAATGCTGACAACATTAAAATCAATTAATTTTACATCAATATTTTATAAAATTCACACATTTGAGTTGAAATTTCTTTAACAATACATTGAAAAATGATCATTAATTTAAATTATATCAAAATATTATATTAATATGTTATATTATCATACATATTTACTAAGTCACGTGATTATTACCTCCCCAATCTCGGCGCCGATGAACAGAGAACAAGTTTAGTTAAGGGGTGACATGTATGTGATGTCATCCCAAGGGTGGCGGTATAGGGGTTGTTTCATGCGCTTCTGGTCCAGGTAGTGGCCCACCAGTCCTATGGTCCGGCCGAGCACGAACATTGCGTTGATGGAGCCCATCTGGATGTAATTGTTACCTTCCTCTCTGTAACATTCAAATAAATATTATACAGACTTGTTTCGAAAAAGCTGGACATGTTAGAACATGTCCTTTATATATATTTTCTTTAGATGTTAACAGACCTTCTAGATTTATTTTAGATACAGTCTAAAGTTGTAAAGTATAAAATTTATCGGTTTTAGATCATAGATAAACATAATTACAGATAGGTAGCTTTTTCACTATGCAGAAAAATATTTAACCACTCAAAGGTTTGATTCTCGTTTCAGTTCAAATATTACGTAGGAATTTTAGATCCATGTATAATTGTATGTGCATTTGTTGTGTTAATTTTTTTGTTAATAAGTAATTTTTATACATTGTTTTAAATCCGTTCGACTCTGACTCGTCGCTTCATAGAAAACTTCAGTGTTGGTGAGGGCTCGTTTCAACATGTATGTAGAAAAATATGAAAAGGCTAATATCAATAGCTCACAAGTTTATTCCCGTAATAAAATTGTCAAAAAGACAAAATGATGATGCCTGTCATAGAAGACTTTAGCGATGGTGCGTTAGGTTGTCAGAACAGGGATGGTGAATTCGATATCCGTTTAGTGCAAATAATCGTACACATAAATGTATCTATATGTTTGTACTGGCGGTTAGTTTTGTTCGTATGGAAGTTTATACTGACTGCGTGAAGAGCTGGCAGTGGCGGAACATATCGACCATGGCGGCGGCCACGATGCCGTCCACGTTGAGGATGAGGTTGGGCTTCTTGCGCGTGGTGATGGCCTCCACGTCCAGCGCGTAGCGCGTGACGGGCCAGGCCGGCCAGCGTGACGTCACGTACGCCTTCAGCTCGCGCACGCGCGAGTCGGGGTTGTTGATCGACTTCACCCTGCACACACCCACAAATAGTTTTATATACCATCTCTAAAAATAATTTTAGATAAATTCAATGAAGACCAACCATATATTAGGAAAAAATTTAAAACACAATATTGTAATTTATTTACAAACTACGCTGATCTGGACAGTGTACATACACACGTATACTATCCAGATACGTTTAAAGAGCTTCATTCTCATAAGAAGTTAAAAGTCCACATTAAACGAGATACAAAAACACATATCATCATCAACAACCTTTTACAGTCGACTGCTGGACATAGGCCTCTCCTTAGAAAGGAGGTTTTGACCTACTATACCACGCTGGCCAGATAGGTTGGTACAGTGAAATTAGTCTCGAGAAATTTTTGCATATGTAGTGGTGTGTATATTACTCAGATCTTAGAGCGCGTTTCCACTATATCGTTCTGGCCTATACAAAAATGTTTCGATATCCTAACATTACTATTTAATTTTATACTTATCCCTAGCAACACTCTGATTTTTGTTTTCAATAAAAACAAGTTTTTATTTTAAAGAAAAAGGTTTTGAATTTGTAAAAAAAAGGTGTGTGTGCGATTCACACACGATAGAAGTGAAACTTCAAAGAGGAGAGACCGATATTTTTTTTTTTTTTGTTTTTCCTTTCATCTAGGTTTTTAAAACTCCGGGAGGTCTACAGAAGGTTCAAAATTTTTGTTATTTTTGGCATAGGACGCACCGTTTCCGAGATATTTCAATCTAAAGCAAAAAATCGTCACTTGATAGTGGAAAGTGAAAACACGCACAAAACCAGAATAAACCAGTTTACGCTGTCCGCTACCATACACTACTACAAACGCAAAAATTTCTGCAAGCTAATTTACCTGTATAGGATTTGTGTCAAGTTTTCGTTCTCTTTGCAGTGCTGTTGTACTGCATAGTGAGCTCCCTTAGTCGGCTCTTACGACACCCGTAGGATGAATAGGGGTCGTGACACTCCGTATTCTTAATCCTTTACCACACAGCACTAAATATTTAGCCTATGGGCATTACATTACTGACTTATTTTCGTACATAGTCTTTGAGTTTGGTTTTGTACAGATGTATGTTTTCACATTCTTTGATATCATTTGGTACAGCCGCGATCCGTCGAATAATATCGTTTTCCTTCAGTAATTAGTGCGTGGATCAATCAGTTAAAGTTTTTAAATGCATGTAAATGGAATTAATTGCAAATTTTTAACAAACATGTAGGTCTTACATGTACAGAGTTATTTTATATTCAAGGAGATACTGAATCAGATCAGCAGTATACTTAAACAGGACCGAGTAAAAGCACTTGTAAACGCGAACCTGAGTTGTTCATCAAGATCTTTGTATATGGTGCTCAATCGTCTTTGTCTACCCTTGACAAGATACAGACGTGAATATGCTCTCTACTAGGTTAATTTCTTAAAATTAGATGTTATAAACGGACCTGTGGCCGATGCCCATAATGAGCTCTCCCTTGGCCCGCTTCTCGTTGACGAACTCTTGAGGGTGCTGGCCGCGGTCGTACGCGGCACAGAAGTCAGCCGCGGCGCGATCCAACGCTCCACCGAAACGGTCGCCCTGGAGGGAGGGGGCTAATTAGTAGCGAACTATGAATATTAATTTTATATTGAATGCTTGAAAATACGTGTATGTTACAGTGTTGTAATTACATTTAGGGGTGATAAATTGATGTGCGGCCCATGAGTGACAGAGAGAGAGAGAGAGAGAGTACGTACGATGGTGAGCAGGCCGCTGACGACGGAGGAGATGAGGTCCTTGCCGGCGCGCGCGGTGACCATGGTGTTGTGCGGCCCATGAGTGACAGAGAGAGAGAGAGAGAGAGTACGTACGATGGTGAGCAGGCCGCTGACGACGGAGGAGATGAGGTCCTTGCCGGCGCGCGCGGTGACCATGGTGTTGTGCGGCCCATGAGTGACAGAGAGAGAGAGAGAGAGAGTACGTACGATGGTGAGCAGGCCGCTGACGACGGAGGAGATGAGGTCCTTGCCGGCGCGCGCGGTGACCATGGTGTTGTGCGGCCCATGAGTGACAGAGAGAGAGAGAGAGAGAGTACGTACGATGGTGAGCAGGCCGCTGACGACGGAGGAGATGAGGTCCTTGCCGGCGCGCGCGGTGACCATGGTGTTGTGCGGCCCATGAGTGACAGAGAGAGAGAGAGAGAGAGAGTACGTACGATGGTGAGCAGGCCGCTGACGACGGAGGAGATGAGGTCCTTGCCGGCGCGCGCGGTGACCATGGTGTTGTGCGGCCCATGAGTGACAGAGAGAGAGAGAGAGAGAGTACGTACGATGGTGAGCAGGCCGCTGACGACGGAGGAGATGAGGTCCTTGCCGGCGCGCGCGGTGACCATGGTGTTGTGCGGCCCATGAGTGACAGAGAGAGAGAGAGAGAGAGAGTACGTACGATGGTGAGCAGGCCGCTGACGACGGAGGAGATGAGGTCCTTGCCGGCGCGCGCGGTGACCATGGTGTTGTGCGGCCCATGAGTGACAGAGAGAGAGAGAGAGAGAGAGTACGTACGATGGTGAGCAGGCCGCTGACGACGGAGGAGATGAGGTCCTTGCCGGCGCGCGCGGTGACCATGGTGTTGTGCGGCCCATGAGTGACAGAGAGAGAGAGAGAGAGAGTACGTACGATGGTGAGCAGGCCGCTGACGACGGAGGAGATGAGGTCCTTGCCGGCGCGCGCGGTGACCATGGTGTTGTGCGGCCCATGAGTGAGAGAGAGAGAGAGAGAGAGAGTACGTACGATGGTGAGCAGGCCGCTGACGACGGAGGAGATGAGGTCCTTGCCGGCGCGCGCGGTGACCATGGTGTTGTGCGGCCCATGAGTGACAGAGAGAGAGAGAGAGAGTACGTACGATGGTGAGCAGGCCGCTGACGACGGAGGAGATGAGGTCCTTGCCGGCGCGCGCGGTGACCATGGTGTTGTGCGGCCCATGAGTGACAGAGAGAGAGAGAGAGAGAGTACGTACGATGGTGAGCAGGCCGCTGACGACGGAGGAGATGAGGTCCTTGCCGGCGCGCGCGGTGACCATGGTGTTGTGCGGCCCATGAGTGACAGAGAGAGAGAGAGAGAGAGAGTACGTACGATGGTGAGCAGGCCGCTGACGACGGAGGAGATGAGGTCCTTGCCGGCGCGCGCGGTGACCATGGTGTTGTGCGCGCCCGACACGGCCGGTCCGTGGTCGGCGCACACGATCACCACCAGCTCGAAGAACTTGCACGCCCACTCAGGCAGCTCGCGCTGGAACCTACACATACCACACACTTTTTAAACCCTATACCAGGACGAAGCATCTGTATCTAAAATGTTTGACTGTCAGTTTGGAAAGATTGGACTGATTTCTACAGATGTTATACTGTCAGATCACGTTATACGGAATAGCTTAATCCAGACCAGACATCACTAGATGTTAAGTGACTCTAAGCATGACAACTCCAACTCCACTTGTGACCCCTCAATTGCACTTGTCCTCGGGTAACGGTATTCACTTACCATCAGACATAAGGTAGACTAACTTGCCCTGTATATCTTAAAGAAAATACACCGAATCTACTAATTTAATAATAGGTTAATCTTAGTTCATACCACAACAAACTAATAGTGCCACCGATTCCCAGCTGCCTCTCCAAGATCTGGCTGATAGGTACTCCGCAGTAGGACAACTCCTGGCCCCGCTCGTCGCAAATCGTGGAGATAAAGGCGGCAGGCTTACGGATGATACCCAGTTTCTGGAATACAATTAGGTAATATAATAATAATACATACATTAAACGGACACAAAGGACACCCAGACTCGTAACAACAATTTGTGAATCACACAAACGAATGTCTCATGTGGGGATCGAACCCACAACAACCAGCGCAGTAGGAAGCGGCGAGGTGACCGCTTAAACCACTACGCCCTCCGTGCAGTCGAATCCGTGATAACGGCGAACGCGCTCGCTGTCGAGAGTGAGTTAATGTGAAATAAACTCGAACTTGGGCCTCTGATCTGTTCAGCCTTTCTGAACAGTGAGTCAAGTTATAAATGCCCAAGACCCCCCAAGGGAGGGTCCCTTGGGGGGTCTTACCCTTCCATGCCATAAAAAAAGAACGTTTAAAATACAAACCCTAGCCCAATCATAGTCCATTGGCACCTTTGGTGGCTCCACTTCCTCCTTGACTATGATTTTGCCTTCTTTCACCAGTTTATGGTAAACCTGTAATACACACAACACACCTATAAAATTTATAAGAAATTATAGACTGCCAGTGGGTCTAGCAGATAGTAGCGGTCAGAGGTCGTGGATTCCATTCCCACGTGCAATAAATAAATGTGTGATAAGCATGATCATTTGTTTCATGTCTGGGTGTAGTTTTCTTTAATATCTATGTATCTATACAAATAAACAAAACTGAAGTGTCTGCTTATAATGTTAAAATAATAGGTTTTTCCTGCTCACACAGTTATTCGCACGATACCTATGCCTAAAAACCAGTTTAAATATTTATTGTCTGTCTGGCTGTTTGTTTCGGGTAATGTTCAAAACGGCTGGATCGATTTTGATAATAAAAACCCTATAAAATTTTGCCCGGTCTGGGAATCCTCATGGACTGCATTTGCGTACCGTAGTACACCACTAAGGCAGCGCTTTTCAAATTCCATGTGAACGTGTGTTTATTAGCAGTCTGGTTACCGTAGTACAGGAAGGAAAATCTAAACCTAAATCTTTTTTCTGCTGTTCTGATGATAATATTAATAATAACTTTACAATTTTCACACACGTGTTCCCAAACTATGTAGAGCCTGTGCTATGATAACCAGACTGCTGATAAACAGTTATTTATTTCTAAATACATATATTTTAAAAATAACTATTTAGAGAACAAATGATTGTACTTATGACACGATATTTGTCCAGGGTTGGAATCGAACATTCGAGCTCCGGCGAAGCGGCCAGAGCCACTAACCACTAGATCTACTGGCCCGTCAATTCATCAATTATATTATCAAACATTTTTTATGGCACATTCCAATAATAGCCGGAATTACAGAAAATTTGTAAAATTAAGTTCCAGACAAAAATCTAGCAGGGCAGAACCAAGTCCAGTACCTTATTGACAGAGACCCCTAGTGTGTCGAAGGAGTCAGGCACGGATGCTCCGAAGGCCTTGAGAGCCGCGTTCTTGGCTACTGCCTTCTCCATCGCGGACCCTGCCAGGGAACCGGCGTGACCGAACTGGACCTCGGACGTGAACATGTCTGAAACATACACATTATGTTAAATTTCATTGTGAAAACCTATTGATGATAAAGGCATTCGATGCAATTCCAGTTGTTCGTAAAATGTTTTTGTAATGTAAGGAAATTAGAATCGGGGGAACGCACGTTTAGAAGCTACTGTCATGGAATCAAGACCACATATGTGTCCTCCCGGACTATCTGCCTCATGCAAAACCCGAACAGACCAGGAAAGTGGCGATTAAGGTTCGAGAGGACGGTAAGATTTTTTTTTAAGATATAGAGAAAACACGAGAAGACGGGTCACCTAATGGTAAGTGACTACCGTCACCCATGGACACCTTGAGGCCACCCCCAGAATCACGTGAGCGGGGGGTTCTGGCTCCTGTAATCTCTCTCACTCCTTGTTTTACGTCATCCTATCCATTACTTTACCCTAAGTTAGGCTAAGCTACTATTATTCATATTTACCCACCTGAACAAGTTCCTATACACCACGCAACGATGGGTTTCTTGATGATGCCATCCCTGATGGCCTTGCAAACGTGGTACTCCTCCACGCCTCCCACCTCACCGAGCAATACCAACATTTTGACGTTAGGGTCAGCCTCGTACCTGTCACCAGGCAAACCAATATTAAGTAATATTGTAGTTATTAGATAATTACTCATAGGCGTAGAACAAATGATCGTGTTCATCACACAATTATTTGTCCTGGGTGGGAATCGAACCCACGACCTCTGGCTTAGCAATCAGGGCCACCCACCACCAGACCAACACACCAGTCTGAAGAACTGAATCCTAAAACATTTAGCTCTCTTGATCAACGAGTAGTTACGTTTACGGATATAACCACCAAAACTAGGCCTTTCTTACTCGTAATACATATAGCATGTTGCGTTTACAAGCTTCGACTGATAAATTAGTCATTATTACTAAATACATGTTTTAGTTACCTCAATAGGTGATCGATGAATGTAGTGCCAGGGTATCTGTCTCCACCGATGGCGACTCCTTCACAGACTCCGTCAGCTTCCTTCGAGATGATGTTGTTCAGTTCGTTGCTCATACCGCCTGAACGAGACACGTACGCGACACTACGAAAAGAATAAAAAAAATATTAAAATACCACTCATGACTTTTTTTAGGGTTCTTCATGGTTCGATCCCCACATGTGACAACACTTTGTGTTAGCCACAAATTGTCGTTCTGAGTGGACCCCCACTAAGAACGACAATTTGTTTTCAACAATTCTTTGTGTCCGTTACATGAATGTTTATATAGTACCGCGATATATTCGTAGTATTTGCAACTTATTATTTAACAGTATAACAATTCTACTATTCTAATATTGTATCAATAGACTGTCGATGGAATGTCGTCGTAATAGTTTTGCACTTTTCGTATTCTACTATTTAAGACCAATGGCCTCGTCACTGATACAAATGTCGTTGATGTCTTTGTAATAGTTAGTTAGTAAACGGTACATTTTTAAATTTGTAAGATATATTTAATTTTCTAGATATGGCAATGTAGTTGATATCACATCACCATTGATGACCCTTATTATTAGACAGTCTATTGACACTGTGAATTTATGTTAGTAGAATACTGATATTTTGACCTACGTCAATGGCGTGTCCACCATTGTGCATTTTTTTCTGTTTTTTTTGCATTCGAAAAGTTCCGACATGAATATATACACTTATTATGAGTATTATCAATGTATTTCAACCCAAACTCAACTCTCGTGTAAACGGGGCCAACATATATATATATATAGATACTTATATACAGAGGTGTCGGTAACGGTAACAGTGTCACGAATTCAATGGTTTCTCAAAAATATGTTCTTTTGTTTGTTCAAAAATGCCGTAAAGAAGTATTCACTTCAAAAAGATCGTTCGTTACTGTAGTTATATAAGCCATATACCTGCCGGGCCTGTACAGCTTGCTGTCAATGATGTTGTCGATCATGCCGGCCGTGTTGCCGATCTTGAAGCAGCCCGGCTTGATGCCCCCCACTGTCGCCGGGCCGATGATGTTCACCTGATAAATATAATAATTATACTGATAATAGCTTGAGAAACTTAACAACCTTCTGATCACAACTTGGACAGAGCCTGGACAGTACCCGCCATTGCTGATAAATCCATATCTAAATATAATTCACTGGAGTTCAGTCACATACACACATATGTGACTGAACTCCAGTGAATTCGAAAATGATTTAGATTCGCAATTCGGTCCACAACAAACTGCTTTTTTGTTAAAAGAAATCGAATAAAAGACGTGTGTACGTCGGATCCGCTAATATACTTATATATTACTAAGTTGGCTTTTGAGTCCCTATTCATTAGGAGTTTTTTTTTCTGGATGACAGAGTCCGTGTGGTGACGGATTAAGAATACAAATTGTCACCACCCCAATTCATCCCGTGGGTGTCGTAAGAGCCGGCTAAGGGAGCAAACTAAGCAGGACAACAGCACTGCAAAGAGAAGGAAAACTTGAAACAAACCCTATACCAACCCGTCTGGCCAGCGTGGTATAGTAGGCCAAAACCTCCTTTTTAAGAAGAGGCCTATGTCCAGCAGTGGACTAGTATAGGCTGTTGATGATGATGAATGCACTCGTGAATATTGAGTTGTATATGTACGTGCGCCGCGGTAGTCACTTACCATCAGAGGCCCTAGTGCAAGTATATTTCACATCAACTCGCTCTCGACATCGAGCGCGTTCGACGTTGCGATTGGTGCAGATTTCAGTGCGGGCCAATCGCAGCACCGAACGCGGTCACCGTGACGATTGAGTAGATGTAAAATAAACTCGCACTAGGGCCTCGGGTGACCTGTCTACTCCACCCTTGCGGCTAAGATTCACATGTGCGTTGCCGCTTCTGCCTCTCCTTTCCACCAAATTAACCGAAAGCAACGAAAGATTTTGTTTAAGGCCAGTTTTCTACGAGGCCAAAGTATCCCTCCACTCCAGTCAAGTCAGCTCAAATTGCAAGCATAGGTCTCCCACGGATCCAGGAAATAAATAACACACTAATTCATAAATACGACGATAAATAAACCAATGTGTGCTTACCCCACGCGTATCTGCCAGTTTGATGATTTTCCTAGTCATGTTCTCGGGGATACCTTCAGCGATGATCACAATTGTGTTAATCTGTGGATGCTGCATAGCCTGTAAGAGACATTTAAAGCTGTCAGTTACTAGTTGATAAAACACAGTAGATTTTTATACCATTAATATAGTAAACAAGTATACGATCACCTGAATGCGAAACATGTCGAGCAGCGAAAAATAATATGTACGGTGAAAGAACAACTGAATACTTAGTTCCCAGATTTATTAACAATCTACCCTCCGAATTGTGAGATATTCTGACGCCAGCCAAATCTAAAGTGGGACCATTTCTTTTGAACCAATATTAATAATACAGTGAAACTTGGTTAAGTGGGACCTGGATAAGTGTGAAACCTCCATAACTGGAACTCATGCTGAGGTCCCAACACTTTGGCACTGAATTACCTCTATTAGTGGGACGGGATGCTATGAATATTAAATTATCTTATTAATATGTTTGCACTTTGAAAAAGTGAATAAAAAAATAAATAGCTTTTTTTAAACATATATTACCACCAGTATTATAATAATAATAATTCTTTATTGACTGAAATCAGACAAAAATAATTGGCTCTTGGCATGACATTAAGTTCTCTTACGTTGTATAAAAACATATTTAAAATAGTTACCTGCATAGTACTGTCGTAGGCAGATCTAAGTGACGCGAAGTTGACGAGAACTGTCGCCTCTTGGTGTTTGCGCATGGCTACGTCCATGTCAGAGAACACTGGGAAAATAATAATAAGTTAAACCCTATGACGTCATAAACGTAAAACATATTTTAACGCCATCTAGCGAATACAAAACGAATGACATTGTGCTGACACTGCCTACCCTTTACTCATTGTTGTGACCCGTAGGTATTGAAAACTGCACACTGCGCAGCGCCATTAACGCAATCACATTTTTTTGTTTGGATACTCGTATTTTCAAGTTTTAATAGGGTTTTTAAAGTTTTCCGTAATAATAAGACACGTAAAAGTTTTCTTCTGAAAAAAAATTACAATCTTGTGTTCCCCAGTAGTTTGATGGTTTGTTGTGAGTTCAATTACAAAAAAAAAGACTGCACGGATGCCGTAGTGGTTTAAGCGGTCAACCTCGCCGCTTCCCACTGCGCTGAGTGTTGTGGGTTCGACTCCCATATGAGACAACACTTTGTGTGATCCACAAATTGTTGTTCTAAGGCTGGGTGTTCTTTGTGCCCTTGCTAGTAGTATGATAAGAAAACTTAAAACTAGTTACTATTATGTAAATTAATTGTAGGTTTCTTTTTACTATTTTGTATCCATAATAAATAAAATTTAATAGGTAAAGTAAATACTTCGTGTTTCTTTTATTGTAATTGTTATTTTGTGTATGTAATAATTATTTGTGTTTAATGAGTTTTAAGGCCTTACCCGGTATAAACACCTCCTTATTGCCAAAGTAGTATTTTTGTTTATGGTCAGCCGTGAACGGGTACACAATGGCGACCACTGACGGCTCCGACCGACGGCAGATGTAGTCGAAGTCTAACATTCCCTGTGGGTTGAAAAAAAAACCAGCTCACTGCCATGCACCAATAGTAAAACTCAAATTTACTAACCAATATTTTTCTTCAAAAAGGGTTTATTCTACTCATAAATCGGTCTGGGAAAGTGTCTACTAATAAATAATACTAATAATCACACACGCAGCCGTCGTATCCCAAACTAGGCAGAACCTATACTATGGTAACCAGGCTGACAACATTATGAATTTTTTAAATACACCAAATGATCACGCTCATCACACAATTTTTTTTTATGGTGTAGGGGTCAAACGAGCAGATGGATTACCTGATGGTCACACTGGACACCTGTAACTCTACAGACTCAAGTGCATTGTCACCCTTTGAGAGCAAGAGTTAAGGGGAGAGTAACCTAACTCACTCAAACAAGGAAAGAATTACTTAACACAGGTTTTCTGTAGGGCCATGTTATCACACCGGTCGGGGTCGAATCAGGCCTTATGTGCCGGGCTCTCCTTTAATAATATTGTCGGACATCTAACACACAACGCCATCTAGTTTCAAACTAAGCTGAGCTTGTACTTTGAAAACTGGATTGACTGATAGAATACTTATATAGTTTTTTTTTGTCAATACATTGAAAAAACCCAAACTTCAAAACAATTTTTTGCCGATCACACAAAGATTTGGTCCAACCCAGTAATCGAACCCGAGACCTCAGTACAGTAATCGCATACGCTATCACTGCACCACCAAGGCAGTCCAGAAAGTTTCCTTCGTTGAAATATATATATAATTCTTACATAACTATAGACGATTTCATTATTTCCACGCATATTTACACCTTATTGTGTAGTTCCAAAAGCAGCTATTTAATTGAATTTTCAATAACCGAAAATTTTTACCTAATAATAAAAGATTATTATACCTGAATAGCTCTGTTCTGCATGCCCCAGATGATGGCTTTTGTGCGGTCATTGAACAGTGTCTGTGCAGTAGAGATGCCCTGACCAAGGTCCTGCCTTGTGGGAGCTTGTGAGCAGACCAGGTCCAAAAGCTTCTGGGTCAACTCTGGAAGTTCGATCTTGGGTTTTGGCTGTTGAAAGGAAGATTTTTTTTTAAACGAGTTATTGAGAATTAAATCTAATTACCTGTTGTAATAAAATATTCAATATTTTGGATAGCAATTCAAAGTTTCGTAAGATAACAATAAATCATGTATTTTTGCATTTTATTGGCATTAAATGTCGAGGAAAGTATTTATTGCATATTATACTATATTTCAGTTAACGTAGACTAAATTTTTTTACGTAAGAAATGTTAAAATGTGTATATTTAATAACAGTGAAATTAACCCTAGAAACAAATATGGCAGGACTTCGATCTTTAGTACTTGAATTGTTTTAATTTTATCTACACGCAAATATCATTTAAATATGATTAGCTAGGGGGGGGGGGGGGGGGGGTAACACAGCAGACAGTGGAGGTGAGCGCTGATGCGTCGTAAGGAGTACCCCCTACTCCTGGGTCGCCATTCCAAGGTGCTGTCGATGTTGCATGTGTTGCTCTTATTTAGACCGCGAATCCATGGAACGCTAAGAAATAGGTCTCTAAGTATGACCAAAAGGACAGGATTAAAAAAATATATAAATAGTTATAAACCAGTCGGTATTTCAGAAAATATGTTACTCACAGCAGCTTGAGGTTTAGGCAGTTGCTTGGGAGCGTAGTCGAGCTGGTGTTCTTTGGGGATGGGCGACTGGCCCAGCGCCAGCCCCACGATGGCCGTCATGTTGCTCTCCGGCCCGAACACGTACAGTGGGATGCGCAGGCGCTGGCCCACCTCACGCATTTGTCTGACAACAACAAATTCAACCATTTAAAAAACAGACCAAATTAAGTGCATAATAAGTTTAAGTTTTTCTTGCTAAACATTATCATGATAGAGAAAATTTGCATAAGCAGTCTGATCATCCTAGTGCAGGCTCTGACTAGTTTGGGATCAGACGGCCGTGTGAGATGTGTTAGGTTTTATTATTATGTGACACATTTTCCTCACCTGAGTCCCTCCTGGTAGTTGGGCCCTCCTCTCCGCACGAAAATGGTGATGTTGTACTGTATTAGCGCATCCTTGTACGTCTCTATGGCGGTGATGATGCCCCGGAACGTGTCTGCCACGTTCGTGAAGTTCGCTATACCACCACCGATTATCAACACCTGTTGGAATAAAATAAAATGTTATGTTAAAACAGGGTTTCTTATGCTTTTTAAATTCTTTTTTTTATGTGAAACACCTAATGGGTCAGACCTGCTGTTGCTGTGGCAATACTATGTGGTTGTATATGTAACATGTAACCAGGTGTGGCGACGCATCGTTATGCGCATGTGACTCTGCGACTCTTTGACGATGATTAATTATATTATCAGTAGCTTTATCCACATTACTTTTACAAAGTAATTTTGATGATTTACACCTGCCAGACGTCCCGCGACGCCATTTTTTTTTTTAATTAGAGCATACTAGCACGTGAATAATATTTTTGTTAAAACCTCCAACTCGATAACGACATATAAATTTAATAGTTAAGATCTCGCTTCTGCTCTTAAAGATGGGACGACAGCAAATGAGCAGTCATCTGATGGAAAGTGACAACCGCCGTTCATAGAAACTTGCAACTCGAGACACAAGTGCGTTCATACCCTTTGAGTACTCCTCCCAGATTTAGGTAGAGGGTGGTTGGGTCAATTTGGCACACATTATATACAGCGACATATAGACCACCGTATATTGTTAAAAAAATGATATTCAATGACCTAAGTCTTGAGAGGTTCGCGCTAGAAACCTTGGACCTTAAGGGGGGAAGGGGTTTCTTGCACCAGGTAATCGGTATTTTTTATAAAACTCTAGCAAAGCTTAAATGCTTGTTTTTAGGAGTGGATTCATATAAGCTGTGCCTGGTTTTCTTCTATTTCTAGAGAACTAATGCACACAGTGTGGTTTTAATCAGTTTGATTTCGACCTACTCCGTCATCGACAATCTTGGCGGAGTGGACGGTCCTTGAGGGAGAGCACACACACAAACAAAGAGCAGGGAGTTCACTTCGGTACATTTCATACGGCATGTCGATGGGGTTCCAACCGATGGAGTTATGTTGAAGCCATTAAGTATGTAACATTAATAGCATACCTTGCCATTGGGATGTTTCTCTCTGCACATTAAACTGAAGATAGTCTTCGCATAGTCCGCGGTTTGACTCTCGGTAGGTGCTCCGGAGTACTCTCCGTAGTTGGCGAGCTCGGCCGCTCCGCCCAGTTCGCAGATGGTGTCCGTGTACACCACGGACGCTCCTCCCCCCGCCACCATCGTCCAGATACGACCAGATTTGTTTAGAATTGTTAACTGGAAATAAAGTACAAATTGAAAACAGGTTCTATGAATGAGAAAGTGATGTGGCTTTTTACTATCTATCAATAATTAAATAAATAATATCGTACCGTGTTATCTACGATTTTTTTCAATGTTTTTTTTTAAAGAGACAACTCCCGCGTTAGGAATATATCCTGTGTAGCGGGGGACTTTATAAACATACATAAAACGGACAGAAAGAACACCCAGAATCAGAACAACAATTTGTGGATCACACAAAGTGTCGTCCCATGTGGGGATCGGACTCACAACACTCAGCGTAGTAGTAAGCGCCGAGGTGACCGCTAAAACCACTACGCCATCCGTGCAGTCTAATTAAATAATGAAATATCGATCCACTGGTTTTGAGAGATGTCTTATTATCTATATAATCATCAATTATTTTTTAAATAGTAGAAAAATGTATTAGTGCTCTAATATCTATACTTATATTGTAATTGTGAAAGTGTGTTTCTTTGTTAGTTTGATATGATAAACGACTAAACCGATTTAAAAAAATCTTTCACTTTATAATATAAATGTGAAAGTAAGTTTGTTTATGTATTACGCTTTCACGTCTACAGCATTGAACAGATTTAAAAAAACCAACAACGGAAAGCTACATTATCAGCGAATAACATGGGTTAATTTTTACCACAACAACCGACATATACGCGGGCGGAGCCGCGGGCAAACGCTAGTGTATAATAAATAAATAACAAGTTTACCTTAAGACTGGCTCCACTCTTCGCATCCAAATCAGCTATATGCGCTTCCTCGGGGTACGCGTCACGTCCGAAGGGTGGGGGAAAAGTTATCTCCCCCCAGTTCTTGGCGCAGATGAAGTCAGCCGTCTGGTCCAGCTTGGCGGCCAGATCCAGGAGGTAGATGCGTTCGTTCGTCACTACTATGGGGTTGATCTCCATATATGTGAAGTATAGGTCTACGTAAACCCGGTACAGTGCTAATATGAAGGTAGTCAGGATTCTGTAAAAAGGAAAAAATATTCTAGTCAATGAATGTTGGCAATACTACAGTTAAACTGCTCTGGCTACTATAGACATCTGCAACAAATCTTTCGACATTTCTGATTTGAAAATACAAGTCAATTAATATATTATGGTCAATGACTGTTGGGAACACTACAGCTACTCGTATTAAACTGCTCTAGATAATTTAGACAATATTATTAGCAAAATAATCTTTTAAATTAAAATATGGAAATAGTCAATTATTTATTCTTTAGAAATATATAAGTATGTTCATCAGCATAGTATATATAGGCTCTGCCTAGTTTGGGAAGAGAAAAAAAAACCAAATATTTGTTCTTTATGAACACAATTTCAAAATCTATTTTATTTTCTATCACGTACTAATATGCGATCGGTCTAGACTATATGATGTAATTTACAAATCATTACTATATGCTTTTAAATTGACAGAAATCATCATAAAAATACCTCTTATTTGAGGCGGACTTCACATTCTTCAGTAGAGTGCGTTCAATTTCTTCACCGGAAGGAAATGTGTCTACTGGTACCTGTAAACATACAATATTAGTTTTTACTACTTTTTTTTTTCTTTATTTTAGTTAACGTTTAATGCTAGTTAGAGGCACTTGTTATTCGAGGAGTTCACCAGTAAACTCAAAGTCAAAATATCTTTATTTCATATATTTTTTTAGATTGTTTCAATTTGTCTTTTATTTAGACTCTCAAGGCGTAGATCAACACACTTAATAGCAAATATCTCTAAATAGTTAGCAAAATAAATTTAATAAAAATTAAACTTGCATTTTTGTCTTCTATGTAATCCCCAATTGAGTAATAGGCTGTCTGACATAATTTACGCCTTAAATATTATTTGGGATTTTTTTATAAAATCGAACATGTTGACCTTAAAACGACTTGTTTATCTTTTGGAGACAAGAGGAAGATATAATTGCCGGCAAGCAATTTGAACATTGGGAGACGTAGTCGGGGAAAGTTTGCGCATGTACACTTGCGAGCAAAGAAATAGTACCCAAATTTATTAATTAATGTAATTGTACAACTCTCTTATTTTGTATGTATTATATATATCTTTGACTGCGGTAAAACATAGGCATTGAATTACTTTAATAAATATCTAAAATAAAATATTAGATTTTACATAAAGTAAAAGTAAACATTTGTTGTTGTTGTAGAAGAAAATCGCCTTTGGTTTACTAAATACATTTTCTTGATCTTAGAATTTACTCTTGAGGTAAGTAAGATATTCCTTTCATTAGCTCCAAACCAGCAGAAGCAGAACTGGTGTTGGATAGGTTCAGAGAAAATAGTGCTCTGGATAGGAGTGATCGTAGAGTTTTTGGCTTTGTTAATAATTCGCCTTACAGTACTGATAGATAGATGTTTTTGTTATGTTGAAACTGTGACTGTTTTACAGTTTAAACATAATTCATGCCGTCGTTTTTGAGAAAACAATACACATCGTACACCAGTTTTCTGGCTTGTCTCTTCAAAACTACTTTAACTTGTCGTAACATACTGTATATATTTTATAAACAACAAATTTTAATAAAAATAAAAACTCAACAATAATAACAACGGAATCAATACACAGTGTACTCGGAAGTGAACGGGCCGCGAGGGTCGACTAACCTACCAATGGCACGATCGAAACGACGGTTCCCGCCGTCGCGCCCCGCACCGCAAAACCAAAGACCTAAAATACTTTCCTGCGCATTCAAGGATATTGTTCAAGATGTTTGCCGGTAACTATACTACAAGTTTATTTCTATTTCTGGTATTTATAGAATGTACATCACTTGTTTTCGATAAGCTATCCTTGTTTTTATGAACATATATGACATTTTTATACATATATTGACTTGCCTCTGTCATTACGTTTATTTCTTTAAATTTCAGCCTCAATTAACAACGATTGCCTAAATAATAAATAGCTCGAATCGCTCTCTTTTGCCCCTACAGTAGAATACCGTACGACATTACGCTAGGAAAATAACTGAAGTGAACAAGTCGTGCTGTATCAACAGTACAACATCAGTAAATAAGCTTTGATGGTTCCACTATCTACCTCATTAATTGCTCTATCATCAGATACCCTCCAAGGAGCCACATCACAGTATTGTCATCCAAACTGCATATAACACTAGGTGGGGATCGAACCCACAACACCCGTAAGAACAGCAGTAAGAAGTGGCGATGTGACTGCTTAAACCACTACGTCATCCGTGTAGTCACTTGTTTGACAACTTCCCGGTATAAAACGAATTCTAATAAAATGCGTCATCTGTTGCGATTTACAATTTTACAATTTCGATTTGCAATTTTCATCACACATATGTACATACCTCGAGTCTGATTGCTAGAGCGTCTACATCACCGACGTCAACGCCTCCTTGGTGATGGAACAGGATTGTGTCTGACCGGCGGCCTGACTGGATACACAGGTACATCTCATCTGACTGTAAGATATTAAAATGAAATTCAAAAAAAAAATAGGTGCTAGAGAAAAAAGATAAACTATTTATTTTTGTTTTAAAATTATTTTAAGTATTGTAATAATTTTATAAAAAATAAATAAAGCAATAAGTCCTATTAAAAAAAAACTCCCTGTATACAGAACTGTGTCGGGTTCCACAACCACAACATCTGTAAGGCTCAGCGATAAATTGTGTATTGAAAAATCAAATTATTGTTACTCAATACTGTCCTTCAAGCTTCAAACACTTCAGCAAACCACAGACGAGCAATCAGATATGATAGATGAGCATTAAATATTTTAAACCAAATAATCATAGCGTTTCTGTTGTCAACATAGCTGTTAACTTAGTGCTAAATAAATACAACAGATGGCGTTATTCTCAACTTACCGGTTCATGTTTGATGAACGGTTCTACGATGAAATGTCTGAGCTTGCCGACGGCTTCTCCAACTATCTGTTCCTTGTTCATATGCTCGCTGAGCCATCTTCGGACTTCGGCCGCCGATTTGTTGACGCCAACTAGGCCGAGCTTGCCTCGTCGTTTGATCAGCTGATCGGGTTTCACAACCAGTTGCTGGAGAAGATAGGTAAATTCTAAAATCTAGTGATGAATTCCTTCTTCCCCTTCCTCTTTGGGAATGTTCCGAATAAACTGTTTAAACAGGCTACCTAACACCAAAATAAAATTATAGATAAGTAAAACTGTATAAGATAGTTTAATGGCAAAGCGAATTAAAAAGAGTTGACTAGTAGCTACTGACGAGTTCCACTATCCAGATAGTAGCTAGAGGATCCAGAAGGTCAATGAACGCTCACGCACACACCCCAGCACGCACGCACGCACATACACATTATGTATAGATGACCTACAGATATGTGACCTAACCAAAAATTTCTAACCCTTTGCTATAAACTAGCCTTAAAAATGTGTCTAAATTATGAGTATGGGTAGTACTCATTTCTAAATAGGTAATTTTTATATGGACTCTCCTTGGTCATTTCATTCTTACCTCTTTAGATAGCCAAGGGTTCTTGCCGAGTTCGTCCTCCCAAATTGTGCTCTGTTCGAAGGTGGCTAAGCGACATGGTACTATAGCAGTGCCGGAAGCTATGTGCCTGAAAAAAGCGTTAACAAATTATATGAATATTCTTTAAGTTTTAGATTTGCATATCTCGGAAAACAACAGAAGTTTTTTTATAATATTTTGTAAATGGGCGGCGGTAGTGCCTTACCATCAGGTGACAGGTCTGCTCCTTTGAGACTCCTTTGCTCCCATTTCATAAAAAAAAGAAAGTCTCACGTGAGCCTATCTCGTGTAAGACGTGAGTTTATCTTTGCTGAACAACAGAAGGAATGCATGAGAAAGATGTATTCGCTTTGTATCATTATAATAGTTAATTTAATTGAATTGAATATCCTTCAACAAAAAAAAATGAATAAGTCATTTATTCGTTTTAAAGTACAGATTTACTAAACAACAACAGATGGTTCACTCCGTCATAATCTTTAAATAAATTTCAGCTATATGTACATATGAATAAGATTCAATTTAAAATGCAGGAAAATACATTTTCAAATGGTTTAACTGGTGTACTATGCCTCTTTACTGAAGAACTATAAGAAAGATACTATAAATGTAAATTAATAAAAAGTAATATTACCTGTTAATGAGGTCTTTGCCGCTGGCTTCGTATATAGCTTTTGACGACATGATTGTGTGTTAGTGTGGGTATTCTAGCTGTGTGTGCGCGATTACGTCATAGGGATGAGGGGTGTTAACTGGAAATAAAAAAGACATAAGTTAGTTTTGATTTACTTCATATCAATGATTGTTGATAAATATTGTATTTATTTCTCTCATCACAAAAGTGGGTACAACTTAGTTACATTAATAGTATCCTGTACTTAGTATTATTAGTGTAGTAGTATTATCTATACAAATAAATAAAATTGGAGTGTCTGTTTGTTATATTAAAATAACCGCTTTTTACTAAATGCATATGTATGTTTACACGGTACATATGCCAAAATAACATTTTTTACAATTTTAGTCTGTCTGTTTGTTCCGGGTAATCTCTGGAACGGCTGGACCGATTTCGACGGGACTTTCACTGGCAGATAGCTGCTGATATAAGGAGTAACTTAGGCTACTTTTTTTAGAATAGCTTCGCCCCGCGGCGTTGCCCGCGGTTATAACAACAAACGCGGGTAACACCGCGGGTCTCAGCTAGTTATTAATATAGTTACAGGCGGCGTGGTTGTCAGGCAGACGACATCTATGTTAGAAGAGGTTAGCCGATACTTTGGCAATGTTTCATATTACGCGAACTCCAAATAAAATGGAAAAAATGGTGGGCCAATGATAATTATAATATTATATTACAATCTTCTTTAATAACGACATTATTATAAATTTAGTTTTTATACTAACTCATGCGAACCCAAAATTTTAACTAAACAAAAAAACTAATTTAAAAAACAGATAATTTAAAATTTTAACTAAGTTTTAACAATTTCCTCGTTAAACGTAAAGCCAATTAAAAAGGTAAAAAAAAATGCAACAGAAACAATAGTATTATAATTATGAACATAATAACTCTTTTACAGACGAATTATCTTGAGGAAGTCTCGCAGTACACACTTGCGGTTGCGCACGTGCACATTTGTTTTTTTTTTATGCCTGACTGAAACCCGTATACCTGTTAGGTATACGGGTTTTATTTACTCGCGGTAAGTAAATCAGGGTTGACAACTACTTCATTGCACAATATTGCAGAACCGAAGTTGGCAATTCTTTTATTGTTTTCCACCAAGTGAGTAAGTTACCACGGGACCACTTAACCCCTCCCACAAACTCTTCAATCAGCAGGTGGGGGGCAAGGTATTTTCGAAGTAAAATAGTAAAGTCTTACAAAGACTAGCAGATTACCGATTCCATTTTCAGTTACAATACGATGTAATCACATTACAGTCAATGTGGGATGTTTAATACTTTACTACGAAAATACCTTTTATGACAGTTGTGATATCGAAAGTTGATCGGAACGGAATTGAGAACGAACTTTTATTACGAGAATTGGCCCTCTGTCTGCTGGTTTGCCAATTACAGCATAAAACTCAGCAGCACCACATACTGCATTCATTTGAAAGCAGCTAAAAGCTGCGCCTGACTGGATTAAAATCTCTATTTTATAAGTAATCGTGTTTAAAGGCTATCTGTGAGCGTATCAGTGTTCTGTTAGTGAGTAATAGCCGTCATTAAAATGCTATTGGTGTGATTATATGGTGTGATTATTTGCCACGTATTAATGACACAAATATAGAGTAAAGTAAATAATACTTTTACGATTTTGATAACCTTATATTTAAACAAACAGTACTTGAAAATACATGCAAATATTTTATAGCAGTTTAAAATTCTACATGGCCCAAAATTTACAACTATTTAACAATTGCCACAAACAAAATCAAACATTTTAAATGTACAAAAAAGTAAATAATAATTTCAAACTTAGAACGCATCGCGTTCTATGCGCACGCGGCGGCAGCCTAATTGGTCAGCGTGGAAATGACTCACTGCGATTGGTCGGTTAACGTCGAACGGCATCGCGTGATCAAGTCGTCGGTGGCTACGTCATCTCGGAATCAGCTGAGGCGAGTTCGGCCCATTGATGCTATCCACAAGTACAATGACTTGCTCAGTCAGTGGATATGTGAAAGTTAGTTACTTTTTAACGGGTATTATGATGCTCAATGTAAAAGTAACAAGATATCGGACGGTGGGCGATTTTAGACCATATTAATTCAGTAGGCTATCATATTCATTTGGTATTTTTATTGGCTGGCCATGTAACTTGAAGTATCATTGACTTATAACAGATAAAATATTATATATTATTATCACTTTCCATCAGGTGACCCGTTCTTTAATTTTCTTGGCTTTAAAACATGAAAATAGCTCAACATTTATAAAAAAATTGGATTATGAAAAAACCTAATTGAAGTTTTAATTTACTTGGGGAGAGGGCCGATCCCGAGCTTGGAGGACGTCGGCGACCATAACAGCGGGCCGCCAGAGAGTGGGGACCTCTGGTGGCAGATTGAATGCTGCGGTAGGGGATAGGATGGCGGCCTGATTGCATTAAGACGAAATTGGGCCGCCACGTCGCGATTGAGGGGGAAAGTGTTTTTTCCCCTCTGATAGGGCCTGATTAGGCATGGTGTCAATTCGGGGAGGACCTGAACGATAACGTGGTCCAGGTCGTCCCAGAGTAGGGCACCTGAGGCCTATCGTCGGGGTGGCTTTTAGTGGAATCACGTACTCCTGGCTCCTGAGTCCCCGAGGAGCAGGAGACCCGAAGGGATTTTCCACCCCGTCAAAACAAAAAAGGACCTACAAGTTGGACCATTTACCACAGTTAGTTCAAGTTCGATTCTGTTACTGCAGCAAAGGTATAGGTTAATACAATATTTATTGTCATAAGAACAATTCACTTAATATGAGATAAAATGCGGCGGTAGCCTAGTGGTTAAGGCATTGGACTTAGTTAAGGCATTGCGAGGTTAACGGGAATACTAGTAATTTTGGTCGCTAGTAGATCTTAAAAAAAACATTATTATTAATATTACTTAACGTCATCTTGTCATGAAGCATGCATATAGGTACTAAATTACTACAAAACATATCTAAATACAACATTAGAAGATGAACTAATCATAAACAAAATAACACAAAGATTTACTTGCAATAGGAATGCCAAACAATATTTAATTTTACATAAAGAACAAATTATTCTTTTATTTTTGTTAAAATAATTAAAATTGAAGGTAAAAAAAAGTTGCCCAGTCAATATCACCAACTTGTTTTTTAAAACGTTGTAATTATAGTGTGATCGTAATAATAGTAAATATGAGTGTGCAGGTGTGTTGTAGTGTCACGGCATATCACTACTTAGGGCTTACTGAAATTTTCTGGATTCTGATAAATACTCAAACTCAAATATATTTATTTCATAAAAAAATTAAGATTATTTGAAATCGTCTCTTGTATAGACTCTAAAGTCGTAGATCAACACACACAATAGCAACAATCTCTGTTTTGTCAAATATTTAGGAAACTAAATATATACTTATCGAAAATCTCTTATATGCCTGTGCCGATCTACAAACGCCCATTTCCGAGGGGTTGAGCCTCATGAGAAGAAAGGGCAAACAAACTCACGGCCACTCTTTTCAATCAACAGATAACAATGGCATCATTAAATATACACAACATTGTTTTGAAGTGTGCCAGTATGTAAGTTTTAAGGACTAAAGATAAAAAGGCAATGAAGAGAAAACAAGATATAGAAAAAAAATGGAATAAAAAAGAAATTGTCCAAGCATTCTTGTCTTCTATGTAATCCACAATTGAGTAATAGGCTTCCTGACGTAGTTTAAGTTTTATTGTGGATTTAATTCTTATTATACCAAAATCTTGTATACTATTTGGGATTTTATTATAGAATCGGACACATTGACCTCGAAATGACTTGTTTATCTTTTGGAGCCTAGAGGCAGCTACAACAAGTTTATTTCTATTTCTGGTATTAAAAGCATGTACATCACTTCTTTTCAAGAAGCTAAATTTGTTTTTATGAACATATATTACATTTGCAAATATGGGGTCTACCAATAAGAACGTCCTGGTTTAAAAATTGAATAAAACACACAATTTTTATGAAAAATGCCTCCGATTGATTTATTTGATAGATAATTTTATGCAATTTATGTTTTAAATAATATATCGGCCAAATGACCGCCGCGGCTTTTTTTGCAGACGGTCACCCGCTCACGCCAATTTTCGATGACGCGGTGCACTATTTCGGCCGGTATGTCGGCTATGGCTCGTCGAATGTTGGTTTTTAGGTTACGAATTGTAGCTGGATTATTTCTATACACTTTAGATTTAACGTAAACCCAAAGAAAATAGTCTAAAGGTGTTAAATCACATGATCTTGGTGGCCAACTGATCGGTCCATTTCTCGAAATTAACGACTCACCTAACTTTCCACGCAATAATTCCATGTTCACTCGAGTAATGTGAGGTGGTGCACCGTCTTGTTGAAAATAAAGGTCGTCTGCATCAATATTCCACCGTACCATAAACCGCACCAAATTGTTATTTTTTGCGGATGCAATGGTGATTCATGAACCACACGTGGATTTGACTCATTCCAATAGCGACAATTTTGTTTATTAACAAATCCATGGAGCCAGAAATGGGCCTCATCTGAGAAGATGATTTTACGATGAAAATCGTCATCGGCTCCCATCATTTCCAGTGCATAATCGGCAAATTCAGGACGGATACAATGGTCGGATGGCTTCAATTCTTGTGCCAAAACAATTTTGTATGGGTGTAGGCCTAAATCCAACCGCAAAATACGCCAGGTGGTCATTGGAGAGAGCCCCAACTCTTGTGAACGGCGTTGAACTGATCGATTTAAATTAAACACTGGCTGCGATATTCTCTTCACTACGGGCATTTCTTTGTCTCACAGGCACAGCAGTATCGTGGAGAGTGAATTCACTTTCAAATTTTGTTATTATGCGATTTATAGCGCGCACAGAAGGAGCACTATGACGACCGTTTTTGCGCGAAGCGCTCTTACTGTAGCGGTAGGAGAACGCAAATTTGCGTGATAATTTTGGACAATTTCCAAGCGTTGG